TCTAATTTCATCCTAAAGTCATCCCTTTACTGCTATTTCTATCAGCTGTATCTTCAACTTCTACCTTAGTCACATCTTTATTTTTACCTTTACTGCCTTTTTTGTCCCAACCACATTTTCATTTCCTACCCATGCTACCTTAACATCATCTTCAATTCTTACCTTTGCTACCTCAGCTACATTTTTATTCTCTAACCTTTCTTTCTCAATCACCTCTTCAATTTCTATCATTCCATTCCTTACTGCCTCATATACATGTTGATTTTCTACTCTTTCATTCCTTATTACATCAATTACATGTAGATGTTCTACCCTTTCATTCCCTAATACCTCAGCTACATCTTTCACTTCAAGTTTTGTTAACAGTTCAGGAGCTAAAATAGCTTCATCTATACCATGTACTATATAACATCACCTACACCTAGATTTATCATATACCTAATCATATCAAGAGTGTTTCTATCATTTTTTACTACCATCAAGCCATCAACTAGTGTTTTTCTAGGTTTTAAATACAATATCTCACTAATATTCATATATCCAACCTTATTACAAATGTTTAACAACTCAAAGTAAGATATCTTATCAGGATAAATTATCAATTCCTCTAATATCTCATTTATATATATTAGATTATGAGTATTAACAACAAAAGCCCCAAGATAGTGAAATCGTAGAATACAATAATCAAAACTCATATTGCAAAACTAAAAAAATTAAATTATGTCACAATAAATCTTAAATTCTAGCAACAATAGTTGATAAGTACTATAAGAATCATTTTCAGCAAAAATTTATGCTATAAGTATTATAAGAAACCCTAAATCCTTGACAACGAAAATTACAATAATTTAAGTGTGCATGTCCCTTAAATTGTTATCTAATTTTTGTTATAAGCTTTTACTTTATTATAACCAAAGGTTTTTCTTTGAAATACAATTTTCTTTTACAATAGGTTTTTTATGTGCACATCCTGGCTAACAAAATTTAGCATGTTTTTCTTGTGTTATTTTGTTCTTAGAATTAGAATTTACATGATTGACTTGATGCTGTTATTTTGTAATATTTTTGAAAAGATAATTTATAAAGCGGACTTGAAGTTGTGATCATACTTATACTTAAGCTTGATTATTTTTTTGGTGATTTTGTGGCTGGTTCTATGACTATCTTTATCTTAATTTTGTTTTTGAATTGCTATAGTTGACAATTATATTAGGCTTAGCTAAAATTTTAGGAGATGTCTTGAAAGTTAGGTTTTTGGTGTATATTCTTAGAATTTTTTTGGTCAAGGAATGAGGGGAAGATTTAATTCTAACCTTTTGACACAACATCTTAATTACTAAACAAAATTTATGTGGTAAGTATTTTCAATCCTAAATTTAACCTTATTTTATAATCCTAGCTGTCATGAATTTTTTTTTAATTTTTTATGAAATAACATTTATTTTTTATGCTAATTAATTGGCTTCACTTATGTTATAAATTAAGGCAATAGTCTTATGCTAGCACTAGTAGAGGCCTAAGTGATGAGAAAGAATCAAAAGACTATATAAACAATTAAACAATTGCGATCAACCACATATCGGAATATGCCTAAACAACAAAAAATCCTAACTCTATATTGGAGCAATTAAGAACAATAGTAGAAATCCCTAATTATAATTTCGAGCAATTAAAAATAATAGCAGAAAATCCTAACTATAATTTTGACCAATTAAGATCAACAACAGAAAACCTTATATATAAATTTGAGCAATTAAAAACAACGACAGAAAACCATAAATCAGAATATGCCTAAGAATAAAGAACTACAAAAAATCCTAAACTAGAATATGCCTAATTTTGAAGAACAACAAAAAATCTAAACCATAAAATGGCTAACTATGAAAAACAACAAAACCCAAAATATGCGTACATATTATTCACCATATTATTCACTTTACACAAATTTAACAGAAAAATAACAACTACCTTTCTAAATTTTTGGAGCCCAAAGATTGAACCTTAGACATAATCAATTTTTAAAGTATAATTGATTGAACTGAACATTGGTTAGCCTAAAATAGGGTTTAAAAAAATATTTACCTCACAGAAATTAACAAATAAAATTAAATCAGTGATCGGACTAAACTTCTCTGGGTGATTAGGATTAAGGACAATCTGCTTTGGGGTTAAGGACAATCTGCTTTGGGTTTGAAATTTTTTAACTTTTTGATTTGGGTTAAATGCAAGTTTTTTTTCCCCTAAAAATCGTTTCAGTTCTTTTTTTTTTCCAAAATACTAATAAAAAAATCCAAATCAGCATGAATTTGTCTAATCAGTTGATTCCTATTTTTTTTACGTGTTTTAATAGCACGTAACATGTACATCTCATTTTTTTAAAAATAAATCTTACATTATTATAAGTCAATAACGTTTGATCCTTATTTATATTAATTAAAATGTTTGGTCATGTATCGAGCTCTCACCCAAACGTTTGATCTTGATTTGAGCATTTAGCAAAATTATTAAGAAAAGATATTTTACTAATTATAATATAATTTAAAAGGTAAAAATGAAATAAAAAAAAAAAAAAACTAGTTGGCTACTAAAGGTTTACTCATCAGTGGCTAAAAGCCATAAAACGCACTGGATGTTAGACATCCAATGGGCGTGAGGCTTAGTTGACACGAATTTTTATAACAACTGGCCTCCCACTAGAGGTCCAGTTGATGCCAAATGAAGCCTAAGTCAATAAGGTGTCTGAAGAAGGATAAGGAAAAAGGTAAAGGTGTGTGCAGGAAACTTCAATGGAGCGAAAGGTTAAATGTGAAGTATATGGATTGTTTTATGCACTTAAGCTTCCTCATTACCTTATGTATGAGATAATGGACGATGATTTGATTAGGATAATTGACGATTGATGGAAAGCATACATGAAATTCGAAATGAGTCTATTGTAAATCGTATTTAATGATCTTAGACAGTCATGAGTCGTATTTAATTATCTTAAGTAAGCTAGAGGTTAAATGTTTAATTTTGATGTGATATCTTAATAGGACGTTAGTGAGATATTGGGTGAGTTTTTCTCTTGATGAGGGGTGAGCCATTTTTTTAGGTATCGATGATGTAGTAACTTGGACGTGCACTATCTGAGCTACCCAAGAATTTGATCCTGTTGTCCAGGCTTTAACCAAGTAAGTGAATGCTAGCTTTGACTATGTAAATAGGCATAACAATTGCCCTAAAAGTCTAATGGGAGTTATAAATTTACTACCTTCATACTATTATCCAAAGCTTAAAAAAAAAAAAATCTTTTGGTGAAGATACAAGTTTAGCTTGGCAAGCTAATTGTGGTGTGATGTCTTCTTGTAAGGCTAAAAGAGCGTCGTTGGTGAGCAATTTTGTTGAGGTGTCTTTGTGAGGCGAAACAAGTGCTCTCGACGAACCTGGTTTGTGACATGTCATTCTGAAACGAAATGATTGTTCTTTAGCGAGCTATGTAATTGGTTGAACCACAAGAAGCAATCGTGTGAGTGGAACGCGTCAATTTGGGCTTTGTATGGCACACACCTGTATTTTTTACTATTATGGCTGATTCAAATACGTATCATGCTGAAAATGGAGAGTTGTCATATGTAATTAATGGGTGTAATTTTTCAAAATGTATCGGTTTTAAGAGAAAATGTATGTTTTTTTTTTTTGAAAAATTTAATGGAATTAATTTTGTATGATTCATGAACCCCTTAAAATGGTTTAAACATGTATCATTTTAAAGATGTCATTTCACTTATGCTGTTAATAAATTTATTTGAATTGATTAAAAAATATATGTAATGAATAAAGCTTAAAATTTTTTGCCTCTAAATAAAAACGAAATTCATATTTTTTTTATTTGGTAAAAGAAAATTAAGAAAAGGAAAGCAATAGGATTAGGAAAGGCGTGTCAAAGATTGATACTTCAGTCGTCCAATTCATGGAAAACATTTTTCAACCCTGCCGTGGTGCTTTCACGCGCTTGGCAGACATGTGAACCGATTCACAAGTAACAAACAAATTGGAGTTTTTATAAATTGAGACCCAAAATTTTATCTTTTTCACTTCTATAATTTAAACCTCAATAAATGTTTTTATATAAAAAAAAATTCTTTGATTTTATATTTTAGTGGCCACTCATTGAGGCTGTTAGATTTTTTTTAAAATTTTTAATCTATTTTAAAATTTTTTAAAATTTATTATTTATCTGATTGAAAATTATATTAAATTATAAATTTTTTAAATTTATAATTTTTAAATATCAATTCTAACGATATATCAACTAATTCAATAAATAATCGGTTATTAGATTTTTTTATTCAATTCGGTAAAAAATTTTTAGATTTTGTTTAATATATATTTTTTTAAATGAATTTAAATAAATTTATTTACTTTGAATTTAAATATAAAAAATTTTTATGTCCATCTAATAAATTCGAATCTAAACCACAAAAAAAAAAAATACATTTTTTTTATTACTTTAATCAACCATCTGTTAATCAAGATTGTTAGATTATCAATATATACACGAAACTTTAAAATAAATAATCGTAACTTTAAGATAAATAATGATTTATATAATTAATTATATTATCGTTTATGGAATATAAAAAAAATTAAATCACACTTACAATTATACGTACATTTTATCTATTTTCTCTTGTTATTTTTCCTATTTGATTCTCCTTTTTTTTTTTTAATATTTGATTTACTTGAACGTCGAATTAAATCTCAAATTCCTAACTCCTTCTAATTTTTTATTTTTAACAAATCTAATATACACTCACTAATTCAACCCCCAACAAACTTCCTCACCCAACCCGAAAGTGCATTACCACCCTCTGGATAAAGTTGTTTTCTTTGTTAATTCCAACAATTTCTATTGCTAATCCATTTTGACGCGCCAGAAAAGGATTGGCATTTAGTTTTAACAACTTACTATAATGGACGGCATGGAAAATGAAGATGGAAAAGTCTTTTTAAGGTTTTTTAACGAATACTTTTAACTCTGTACTTTTTTTCAGCCGTCCACAAAATTAATTTTCAAGCACAAAATTTTCAATGGAAAGCAGAGGAAGTCAAGCAAAGAGCACTAAAAGTCTTTGCCCCCTATTGCAGTCCAGGCCAGTCGTCTCCATAGCTTGGAAAAAGAGGCAACCAATGAACTTAAAACTGGCCATTCCTTGTTTGACCCGGTCATACCGCAAAAATCAATCTTTTGTTCCCACTCTTCAACACATTTCTCACTGCATTTTTTTTTTTCTTTTAGAGTGTTTAGTTTTGTGTTCTGAATTATGCTTTGGAATATTGAAACCATGATGTAGACTTGGCCTATTCTTTTCATTTTCCTTTGTGAACTATCGGGGGTCCTCTCTCTTAGTTTCTCTGTGGAAAGAAGGACGCTTCCTTGCAGTTTTCAATACCCTTTTGCCTGTTCTTTGATCTTCTTCAGTTAAAACTTGAGAAATCTGAGGTGGGTCTTTGGGTCTTTGAATTTTTGTCCCAAAGTTTCATTTTTTTTCCTTTTCTGGTTTTGTTGATATTCTCTTATATTGATCAGAATCTAAGTCAAGTATTCAACTTCAACTGTTTTGCTCAAGTTTCTCTGCGTAAAGTTTCAATCTTTTGTGTTAGTCTTTGTGAATTTGGTGGTTTATCAGCTCAATTATTGTTCTCACTGTTTTTTTTTTTTTAGTTTTTATTTTTGGTGTTCTTGGATATTTATGAAAGTTGAATTTGATTTTTTTTTCCTTTTCTGTTTCGTTTTTTAACTTGTTTCAGGTTTAAATGTTAGGAGAACTATGGTTTAGTGGACTTGGCATTTAGTCTCTGTTAAGCTGTTATTAGCTATATAAGTGGGTTTCTGTAATCCACTATTTCAGTTTCCATTTGAGGGATTTCTTGATGATCATGGTGTTGCATAGCCGAGTTTTTGCTGTTTTTGTCAGTGTTTTCGTGTGGTTATTACTTGGCTGTAGTTTGAGCTATGCTACTCCGGATGATATTGATTGCTTGAAGAGCATCAAAGATTCACTTGAGGACCCCTTTAATTACTTATATTCTTGGAATTTCAACAACAATACTGAAGGATTTATTTGTAGATTTACCGGGGTGGAATGTTGGCACCCGGATGAGAATAGGGTTCTGAATATCAGGCTTTCAGATATGGGACTCAAGGGCGAGTTTCCTCAAGGAATCATAAAATGCAAAAGTATGACTGGCTTGGATCTTTCAAGCAACAAATTCTATGGAAGTATTCCATCTAATATCTCTAAACTTCTCCCGTATGTTACATCCCTTGATCTGTCATTTAATAATTTCTCTGGACATATCTCAGCAAGCCTCGCAAATTGTAGTTTCATAAACATTTTGAAACTTGATAATAACAAGTTGACGGGTCAGATTCCTGCAGAACTCGTTTTGCTCAATAGGATGAAAACATTTAGTGTATCTGATAATCTCTTGACTGGGCCAATTCCAAGTTTTCTGGCTTCATCATCAGTCGACAATTTTGCAAATAATCTAGGGCTGTGTGGGAAGCCTTTGGATCCGTGTCGGTCGACTTCAAAGGGTGCTAAAACTGAAGTTATTGCTGGGGCTGCTGTTGGTGGGGTGACATTTGCTGCTATATGTGTTGGTATTGGTATGTTCATCTATTTCCGTAAATTATCTGTCTTGAGGAAGAAGGATGATGATCCAGAAGGAAACAAATGGGCTAAGAGCTTAAAGGGAGCTAAAGGCATTAAGGCAAGCTAATTTAATCCATTCATATCAGATTGGAGCTAATACTCTTCTTTATTTTATGAAACTGCAATTAGTTATTTTTTTCTTTGATTATGGTTTCATCTGTGATGTACTTACAAGGTTATGTTATTTTAGGTTTCCATGTTTGAAAAGTCAGTTTCCAAAATGAGATTAAATGATCTTTTGAAGGCCACTAACAGTTTCAGCAAAAATAATATCATCGGGTTGGGAAGAACGGGGACCATGTACAAAGGAGTCCTTGAAGATGGCACCTCACTAATGGTTAAAAGGTTACAGGATTCTCAACACTCTGACAAAGAGTTTGCATCTGAGATGGCTATTCTTGGAAAAGTGAAACACCGTAACTTAGTTCCCCTTTTAGGTTTCTGCATGGCGAAGAAGGAGAGGCTTTTAGTTTACAAATACATGGCAAATGGTACTCTGAATGATAATTTGCATCTTGTAGATGAAACTAAGAAGGCTATGGAGTGGTCATTAAGGCTTAAAATTGGTATAGGGGCTGCCAAAGGATTCGCATGGCTCCACCACAACTGCAATCCTCGTATAATTCATCGAAATATAAGCTCTAATTGCATCTTACTAGATGCAGATTTTGAGCCCAAAATATCCAATTTTGGTCTTGCTAGGCTCATGAACCCGATTGATACACATCTGAGCACCTTTGTCAATGGTGAGTTTGGGGATTTAGGTTATGTTGCCCCTGAGTATATGAGAACTCTGGTGGCCACTCCCAAAGGAGATGTTTACAGCTTTGGAATTGTCCTTCTTGAGTTGGTGACTGGTGAGAGGCCTAACTATGTAGCCAAAGCTCCTGAGAGCTTCAGGGGAAATCTGGTAGAATGGATTACGCAGCTATCAAATGATGGAAAACTTCAAGATGCTATTGATCCATCCTTGGTTGGAAAAGGCATTGATAATGAACTTTTCCAAGTTCTTAAAGTTGCATGTAATTGTGTATTTCCACCTCCCAAGGAGAGGCCTACAATGTTTGAAGTCTACCAGCTTTTAAGAGCTATTGGCGGGCGATACAATTTTACCAGTGAGGATGAAATTTTGATGCCGTCAGATACCGGTGATGCTGATTATATAGAGGAACTTATTGTTGCTCGAGAAGTCAATGAGACTTGGTGAAGAGATATGTGATATGGTGAGTAGTTCATCTTGGCATAGTGCATGTTTAAGTGTTTGTTCTTGTGCCTGTTTAAATAAAGGTTGAGATTACATGTACATCCGATGCTTTACTTGCTAGTTTCAACTTTCTACACTTAGTACTCACTGTAATCGAATCGATTACAGTTTTTAAGCATCTAAGCTTTCAGTCTTTTATTTGGTAGTAGAATCCTTAGATTCATTAGTATGATATTTTATGTCCCAAGGCTTTTTCTCTAAATTATTTTCCATGTAGAATGATAAGATTCGCATTTCAAGCCAAGCGAATGGTACGTGTGATGTGAGTTAGATCTATTTATAATTGTGGGATTTCTGTTTTCCTGATCCATTAATGTGATATTATATCTTGCTTCTCATGAACGACTAGCCTTATTTTCTTCTTCTTTTGCTAATTTTACGAATCCTAAGTCTCTTTGCTGTTCTTTCTTGTGGCATAAATTGCTTGGTTCATTTCCATTTATTTAATATATAGCAATGCAGATTATCGGATGGATGTATTTCGCCAATCTTGCTGTGTTTTTTTTCTTCTTTAGGGTAAATTAAAATAACCCAACATATGGTTAAGGAGGAAACCTCGTGGTCTAAAAAGTTCTAGTTAACCGCAAGAAGATTTTTCCATCAAATTTGAAGTTAATACCGTTTGTCCATTTTTGTTTTTTTTTTTTTCTCCCTTCATGCTTGAATTTTCACTAACCATGGGGTTTTTTTTTTTTAGTAACTTATCCTTTTCTTAGTAAATATTTTAGTGTAATTTCTTCTGCATTAGGGATTGTATGTCAATTATGACACTGAAAACTGTGTATCATAAGTAGTATATATATGTAATTTGTGTTTTCATGTCGGATTATTTTTTGTTTCACATATAAAATATAAAAATTATTATGTCACAATTCATATAGACACATCAAATATAAAATATTTTATTATTTTATTTTTACTTAACATATATATGGTTTTTATTAAAATTCTAAATTGGATTGTTTTCTTCGTGTCTTTCGTCCTTGTATTGTGTTGTATTTAAAATTGTGAGGGGAAATAAATTTATGTTCAATGGAGAATCCTTTCCAAACATTGCATGAAAAATGGATAACCAGGCTTCTATAACAAAGACTTGTGTATTACAAGACATCCAACTAATTCAGCAGAATGCCATTGAGTTAGCTCTTTTCCAAGAAAATCTCTTCTCGTATACATTATCTATAGAACAAAACGGTTCTCAAAGTATTATACATGGATTTATACAGATGCAAAAATAAGTAAATAAATTATAACGACCTTGCTGGCCCGGCCATACAAGCTCTAAACCGAAACCACCCAATTATGGCAGCTTCAACCTAAAGTTATTGACCTGTGACAAGCTGCATATAGCTGCGGTGATGCAGTTTCATCATCAGAACTGTGCTGCGGCCCGCCGTGAAATCCAGGAAAAGCTTGTGGCAGCGTTGGATTCACTGGAACTGGAAAAATTAGTTGCATCGTTGGATTCACTGGAACTGGGAATTTATGGGCAGAACTAACAATGGTTCGTTCATTTATCATGCCAACTTCCTTGCAGACCCGATCAAGAACTGTGAGGAAATCCGTCACTACCATAAAGATTCTAAATGGGTGGGCCTCTTCCTTTGCCGAGTTCCCATGGAAGCATTCTGTAATCTCCTTCACTAGAGATAGAGCCACACTTTCATGGGCTTGAATCCTTATAATCCCCTTCTCGGCCATTTTCATAAACCTATTAATTGATTCTGAAAATTTCTTTTTGCTCTCATCCGGCCCCATTGTCTCATTTAATCTTAGAACCTCGCTGATGTTTCCGAGGCCTCTAGAAAGCTTAAAGACATCACCACTAAGTGCCTCATAATCCATTGCAGCAGCTTTCTTCACATTGGTGAGCTCTGAACTGAGACCAGAAACAACTTGTAAACCAAGCTTCCTACACCGAGCATCTTCGTTTAAAGTGGAGCTTGATGTTTGGTTAGTGTTCGAAAGACAAGCACCCTCAGTTCTTATAATTTCTTGTACAACAAAATGCAAGAGTGTGGTCTTCCCATCCGCACCCTTGACATCAACAAGCTTAAGAAGTGTATCAAGTTTAAAGGCATGGACATCACCACGGTTTGTCCCAACATTCATGCGGTTCCCAGTCTTGAGCACAGCCTCTAGAAGTTTCAAAAACATCCTACTGTTTCTTAATTCCTCGCAAGCAGCCTGTGAAAAGGAAAAATCAATGAGATACAGCTGAAGATAATTGATGATCAAGCAACAAAAAAGGTTTGTTAGTCATTAAATAAAGGGATTTTGCAATGACAGTATTCAGTGGAAGAAGCGTAGCCTGCATGCTCAGATGAGTGTGCACACTATTCTTTTAGACTACTGCAATGGTTACCATAGTTAACATGTAAAGAAAAAAATTACATGTTGGATCTTAATATTCTTCTTGTTCAAATGCCTATGCAAGCTTATGGACTAACCAAGCAGTCAGGTAAGTTTTAAGAACTAACCTAAAGTGAAGGCACATTCAATTAGTCATTCATATTGTACTTTGGAGAGAAACTCGTGATAAAGGTTTTGAATAGTCAAATCGATAACTGTAGTGTTAGGTGTTGAAAATTTCTAACCACAATGAAGGATATGGTAGTTGGATGAGTATTCATACTTTAACTCAAGCAGAAACAAGCAAGCAGAAAGCAAGCGTGATGAAGAAAGCAAGAAAATGTACAAAACAGACAGAGTAATGGAATTGAGTTTAATTACCTCTAGAGTTTCGAAAGTCTTTTTGAGGTATTCAACTTCAGACTCAAAGTTGGCTATGTACAGCATTGCATCCACCCGTTGAAAGGCAAATGGTATATCAAGAACTGTTTTCAAAAATTTCTCAGCAGGACCAAGCTTGACTGGTAAATCATCTTTGTACTCCTTCAACTTACGTTCTTCTTCCTTTGTCGGAGCCATTTTCCATAAACTTTCAAGAAGTTCAGGGCCAAGTTTATCTGCATTACCTGTATCATCATTGATATGATTTTTAGTGCCATACAGAGTAGTTCCACAGATAGGAAACCATATGGTTGGTCATGGCAAGGATGTTAAAGATTAATTAACATCATTTAAAAGCAATGCACACTCAAAAGAGTATTGGTTACCAAAAAATATAGTTGTCAGCTTATAGTCTTGTACAATCTAAAGTTCTAAAAAGACTAGTGAGAATATTTCTTTAAAATAATGAAAGCCACCTATTTCAAAGTTACTGTCAAAGTTGGCTTCATTCCAAACAGTCAACCATTTAATTCAGGATCCTAAGTTAAACAACGTATTGCAAATTATTGAAAACCATTTTCAATCGTATTACGACAGACAATGCAATCTTCAGTAGTTTGAATAACAATAATGCTAGAAATGCAATTTATATATTTTTTAAAGGGACTAAACATCTGAACTAGCATCCAAACTTAGACTACACTAATAAGTTCCATTTAATAACTTGCACCATGAACCATTAGAAACCAGTCCGAAGTTGTAACAAACCACTCAATTCAGAGACAACTTCAGCAGAAAAAATTCATCAAGTAAAGCTCAAGGAACATAAGGACAAATAAAGATCATATAGAACAGACCGGCTTAATGACCTTTGTGCAAGTTATGGACCTTTATGTCTTAAAATCAACAAAATTAGGACAATAATTGCAACCAATGAACTGAAAAGTCCTATGTGATATTTTAAAATGGCAAATTTACCATCTAAAAGGGCTTCACAAACTTCTTCGACAGTCACATTGAGTGCCCTCAACAAAATTGCAATGTTCTGTGCCTTTTTGGGATCCAGCACTCTATTCTCTTGGTTTGGTGATGGAAGAACAGAGCAGGGAGTTGTTTGGTTTGGTTTAGAATTTGTCGTGTTAACAACGAATAGTGTTTCAATCATCTCCTCAATCAACCTGCAAAAACCAATCTCTTACAAATTATTCAAGAATGAAGTAGAACAGCATGAAAGAACTTATTCAACTAAAATAAGAGAACTAAACAAGAACTCCACAGTTAACCAGAGGTTGCAATCATACTTAAATGAGCTTGATTTGAGGTGATCCCACACCATTTCGGGATCAGAGCTGGCTCGTACTTTATCCCAATGTAATGGCTTTAGCTTGGGTTTCGAAGCCTCCTCCTCCACCTCCTCCACTGCCTCAGACTCAGACCTTGTTATCAACTCGACTGGAGAAATATTAATTGGGTTTTGCGTCATAAAACGCATCGAAGGTCGCATAAGAGGAGCCGGCTTCGGTATCTGTTGTGCAAAAGATACTGATGAAACTGGTTTTTCCCAGAGCCGTCGTTGCCTTGGATATGGCGGAGGTGGCGGTGGCGGTGGTGGAGTCAAAATAGACTTCTCTAAAGCCCGGCTAATTCTTACAAGAGATACATCAGGACTTTTCTCCAAATCTCCTCCTGGTGATGAAGAAGCTGTAGACGACAAAGAAGAACCCTTATCGTAATCCGAAACACCAACCATCAACGGAGACATGTCTGGGCATTTCTCGAAAGCTCTGTCCGGTGAAAATGAAGCCGAGGATAGCAAAGGAGACAGCTCACTCTCATTCAAAGTTCTGTCTGGGGATATAGAGGCTGATGACAATGAAGGAGACCTGGCAATTCGATCCATATCATTAATCGAAGATTCTTTTGCTGGTGAACTAGTAGCAGCTGAAGATACGATCAAAGGGGTCCTCATATTTTGAACCAAATCATTAAAATTTCTAATAGAAGCATCTAGCTTCTCTATCAACAGTCTATTTGGCGAAGTAGAGGCCAAAAACAGCGAAGGTGACCCCATATTTCGACCCGGAACAACAGAAGAATCTCGGTTCTCGACTAACATCGGAGAAAATAAAGGGTATTGCACGCTTCGAACATCTGATTCTTTTAAAAGCACTCGGTCTGGTGATGTAGAGGGCATGGACAGCAACGGAGATTGTACATTTCCATTGGAAGCATTCAAAACTATTAGCGAATCAGCTATAATCGTGTCCGGAGACAAAGAAGGTTGAACTTGCACGAGTTCCAGAGATTTTGAGTCGGATCTTCCCGGACTCAAACTAAACGGCACAGAAATACTAAGAGACTGAGACCTGGCGGGTAAACTCGAACTCGAAGGTGAACACGAACAAGTACTACTAGACTCAATGCTTTTAACAGCAATCGCCGTAAATACTCTTCTTGATCCGGATCCCGTTGCACCCGAACTCTCTCGACCGCCCGACGATGCTCTCGGCGAATAAAACTCTTCTTCTTCTTCTGCAACCGAATCTACTTCAACGTCTCGAAAGTCCCGACCAGTGTTCTGTCCAGACAGAGGCGGAAACTGCTGGAGCTCCGGGGAGCCCATTTTTCTCGGATCCAACCGGGCATGGCCTCTCGAATTATTGGAAGCATCGTCGATTCGGCCTCGTGAATTTACCACAGTGCCCAAGTAAAGAAATTCGGAACTGGTCGTGGAAGTTGTTCTCAGCTTACGAGCATCAACAATGTTATTGGGGTATAATCTGCTGCTATTGTCAGATGTCAAGGTCTTGTTATCGTCAAGGAAATTACGTTTTTGCCTACAGCGTCTGCAGTAGAAAAAAACGAGAATTCCGGCGACAATGGAGGCGGAAATGACGGCGGCGATAGCAAGGATAAGGAGTTTTTGGGAATTATGGTTCGGAGAGGGAGTGAGAGGGAGGAGAAGGGAGGAAACATTGGCGGGGAAAGAAGAGAAAGTGGAAGGAGAGGGAGATGGGAGAGCAGAAGGGAATGTAGGGAAGAAGGGGGAATCGGGAGGGGTAGAAGTGGAAGAAGAGAAAGGATATTTGGGAGCCGGAGGGGAAGGAGAAGGAGCGATAGAATCTACTGGAAAGAAAGGTTGATGGAGGATCCTACGGCTAGGAATGTGAAGCGTTTCGCATGACATAAACAAGAAGAAGCAGCAGCAGCAGGAGAATAAGAAGAAGAAGAAAGGGGAAAGCATTGCGTTTTTGGCTTCTGCAGCAGCTCTAAAGGGAGGAAGAGAAAGAGAGAACGAAATGGTGTGACACTGAGACTTGTGGGGACTTTTCTTTTCTTTTTGAGGAAGTAGAGAAAGAGAAAGAGAAAGGAAAAGGCATGGATCAGAATGGAAAGGAAAAGATGCGGTGAAAGAGTATTGGAAAGATGTAGGAGGTGCTGCATCAAGCTAATATTCTGCTGGCGCTGCTTGAGCAGCCTGAGGGATTGATGGCATGAGAGCTGCTTTTATTTGTAGTGGATCTGACTCACGCCATGTAAATTACGAAAATTAATGTTTTTTTATCATATTTTATATAAAAATATAAAATATAAATTTTTTATTTTGATAAATTTATATATAATTACTATTAAAATTTTAAATTATATTATATTTATATCATATTTATATTTTATATTATATCATCAAATCATATTTTAAATTATTATATTCTAATGAATCGTAACGGTAGTAGTAACTTTTTTTTTTCTTTGTAATAGAGTTAAAACAGTTGAGAGCCATGGACTAAAAGGGGTATGGACTAGGGCTACGGCGTTAGGCATTAGCCTTTGGGAGGGGGGCAAGTCCCCAAGTTATGGTGTGGACATTAGGCGTTGGCCCTTGGGGATTGGTTTGATCAGATTGGTGCTAGTTTTATCAACAACCGAGACCAACAAAAGAGGAAGGCCACATGTGAACAAGAATTATCCTATCTTCAGTCATTGAGAATTTTATAGCCAAACACAGGATCTTAGAACTAGAAATGTTATGGCTTGTACAAATGCAGAATATAGAACTACAATACTTGGATTCCCACAAAAAGCATTTATGGGGAATTACATAAATGAAAACAAAACAAAATAGAAACCTTCAAAAGTATTGCAAAATGTAAGATCCTGGAAAGTGAACATGCGATTGCTACAGTAATTAAGCTTCTTGTTTTATCAAGTTAAACTCTTCAGTCAATTTTTGCTTGGACTACTGGTTCTGTTCTTTAATGTATACCATTCACTAGGTGAGCTTAAGGAATTATCCTTGCAAAAGAAAAGAGTAGTAAAAATAATTGTAGTAATATGCCAGACATGGCTTCAACACATAGGAAAGGATATCTGTTAATGTTAATCTGGAAAATAATGCTGCTAATGCCAACCAACTAGTTTTATGTTAAGATACCCAAAGTGTAAGACTCAAGAAACAAGATTTTCCATCAAGAAATCATGATTGCAAAGTCCTTTTTTCTTTAACAAACAAACTTGGGTTGAATGACTCGTGACTCGTATTCATTTTGTGTCAATGCTGAGTTAGGTACATAATTTACTTGAATGATACTCTTCATCATTATTATTTGTGGCTCCCCACTTTTGTATCTATTCCATCTTTTGATAGGCACATTCACTAGGGTATATGTTAAAAACACAAAGGGCACTTTATTTGTCAGGAAAAAAGCAATGAAAAAACAAAGGGGAATAAAGGGAAAGTTGATGTTGAGAGCGATTATAAAGGGGAAAAGAATATTCAATGATCAAATATAGCTTGGAGGATAGACATATCTATACATACCCTGCTTTTGCTTAATTGTGACAAGATTGATATTTGCAACTTTGATTTACATTTTCAGATTTAGATTTTTCATCAATGGGTAAGACTACAAAAAGCATCGTTGAAGATAATATATCCTAATCACATTTCAATATTTTTTTTATAGTTTCCTTTATAAAAGAATAGAAAGAGAGAATTAATATTAAATCTAACAATTCGTATATTTGTATCGTATAAAATATTAAAATTTATATATTCATATTTTATTTTATACAAAATTATATGTTATAATTTGTGTCGACACAAAAATATAAAATATATTTTTTATTAAATTAATATATATTATTATTAAAATTTTAAATCGTATACATTTATATATTTTATTCATATAATATTTATATCATATTGTCATATTATATTTTAAATTATTAAATTTAATTAATATTAAAAAATAATATTGCATAAATATTAGTGGGTACACGTATTTTACTAATTGGTGTTAGCGTCATTTTTATATAACTTCATTTTAAAGATCGCAAAAGAAGATAATTAAAAGTTACATAATTTCTTTTCATTATTCAATGAAGAAGCTCCCAATATTGGGAAAAATTTTGTTCTTTTTTGTTTTCTTTCCTTTCTTTCTCATCATCATAAATTTATGGGTCATTATTGCAGCCAAAATAACCAATAACACCATTTTCTTGTGATGTTGGGAACCATGATTAGTAACCAGGACAGTTGAAAGGATGTGAACTTATTCATTGTATACCCAACTAACGTTGGGAATTAATATATTATCCTTGATATATTTTATATCAATAAAATGAAAATCTAAGCCTTTCCTTTTTCTTCTTAAATTGTTCCAATGATGATTTGTTGACCATTTTATTTCACCACTACTGATCTTTATGATGATGGGAGAAGCTTTGGAAGAACTTTCAATTGTTGGATGTGTCTTTACTAGTGACTGGTGAACGTCAAATAAGCTACATTACAATATAATAAAACTCACAAGCCACACAAGACAAATTTTCAAAAGATTGTAACTTGCTCAATGGATATGAATCCATGGTTTTTTTTTTTTTTTTTTTCCTCTCTATTTTTTTAGTTTCCATACTAGCAAAAAGAAAAAAATATTATTATCTGGTGACATTGTTTATTTACTCTTGTTTCTGTGAGAAGGTTATTTTTTTATGCATTGTTTTTGGATACAATTTTTATCCCTCGCATTCATTTTGCATTAGCTCACAACAAACAAGTTAAAATCATAATTTATGTAATTATAAAAATATAAAATATATATTTTTGTTTTTCTTAAAACTAAATATAATTATTGTTAAAATTTTAAATCGTATCACATTCGCATCTTATATTCATATCATACTCATATTCTTTCACTGTATCATGCTTTAGATTACCAGATCTATAATGAAACACTTTTATTCACATATTCAGTTGTTCAAGCCGTAAAAGAACCAAAGCAGCTTAACGCAAAGTGCAAACACTGCTATTTCAGTCAATTTAAGCGGTATTTCATGCATAAGATGATAAATACAATAAGATAATAATAATTTTATATTATATTTAATTTATATCTTAAAAGAATAAAAAAAATTGAAAAATAAATAATCATTTTCTTGATATAAAATGATTCAATTCTTTCAAAATAAAAAATATTTTTAATTTATAAAATTAAACATAAATATATTATTATACCCTTAAAATTTTCATCAATAATTTAAATTATATAAATTAAAAAAAAATAATTTGATCAATAAATAAATTATTCTATCATAATCTTTACATACTTCAAACACAAGATAAAATGATATTATTTAATCAAATCTTATTTATAATATCATATTATCATATTCTATCATAATTTTATGCATCAAACACATCCTTATAGTTTTATAGAACAAACCCACACTCGCTGCCAAGAGAGAAAAAGAATAAGAGAGATTTTAGGTAATGTAATGTTAGACACATGCCAACTGGAAATCGGTACAAACAAGAAAACTAAAAGGCTTCAAAAACATGCAATATGCTTGAGCAGACAAGGAAATGACTTGTGCATTTAACCCAAAAAAAAATGCTTGACATGATAACAGACAAGAAAAAAACCCAATAATCCAGCAGGAAGCACGGCCACCCTTCATGTTTTTGTGATGTTATTAGGCTTTTTCAATGAATTTAACCCAAAAAGAAGAAGAATATTCTCAATTAGAAAGAAAAGAAAGAAACTACGAATTCGTGTTATGAAAAAAGTGAAGGGGAAAATACAACAGCCCTATATGCCTATTCTTTCTACAATCAAAAGCTACAAACCCTAAATCAAAACTGATTTCAGAACTAGACTTTTAACTTCTAAAAAGAAAGAAGACTAGATCAATGTGTACATGCAGAGTCATCCAACCTGCTATGAAATGTAAAGGAAAGAAAATCAAAGTTTTGCATGCTACTAGCAATTATATTAGCCCAATGTTATGATACAAAAAAGTCCATTTTCAGAAACTTATACCTTAATGAAATATCCATCAATGGGTGAATTCACCTTCTACACATTCTTTAGTCAGTTTACAAGCTACTCTGCACAAAAACAAGAGAGAGAGAGAGTGAGAGTTAGACAACCTTCAAAACCTAACTGGCATTTAAACACTCTTCCCCCAACCCCGTCCCCATGAAAACAGGTTACGCAATGAAGAGTAGGAAGAGGATCAAAATTCAATCCTATGAAGAGAATAGGCCTTCTTTATATCAATTCAAGAGTAAGAAGAACATATTTGTTTTGATAATACAACTACCTTTCTCCAGATCATTGGAATCTTTGTCCCCAACACTAGAATTGTAAATACTTGAAATCTGTAACTAATTAACAATGTAACTTATTCTAAACAGAAGTCAAAAGAATGCCAATGCCATTCCACAAGCTTTTCAACCACAGGATTGTCAGGGAACATCCAAAAAATATTAATTTAGCAGATCCCCTACATCACCACCCTTGCCACATAGGTTTGAGTGACAAAAAGTAGAAAACAATATTCCATGAAAGCCTGTTGCTCAGCTAGATGTATAAAATTACTCTGGGGGTTTGCATATTTATAACTTTCAGAAAATATTTGCACTTCAATAATTGTTAGTGGTGGATAGATATTATTTTGAGGAACAAGAAAATCACAATGAGAATTAAATAAAACAGCAAGATATGGGAATTCACCTCAAGCAATGTAGAGAACGTTAAGCAAACCCTTCCACACTCTGACAACCATCTGCGATAACAAATTAACTACAGAATACCACCATTTCAGCCTGCTACTTTAATTGCACCAACTTCATCAATTTTTGAGCTTTTATGCTGTAACAAATTAATAATGTAGTTTGATTAGAGACAAGAGAAAGCAGTTAGAAAACAAGGTATATGGGCACTACTCCTGAAAGAAATGGAGGGAATTAATGCTAAACATATCAAAAATATAAAAGATAATCCACATAATGCGACAAAATATAGCAAAATCCGTAATAATATGCATTACCTTACTTTTTTTGTGTCTGTGAACATCATTAAGATCTTCGTCTCCATCATGCTTCCTTTTCTGAAATTATATGAATTACAAAGAATTTTATTTGGAGTTCCATTTAAAAATTAACTTAATTGAAAAAGGGGATTATGTTTTTGATAAAGTTTCTGCTGACAAATCAAAAGGCAACTTGCGCAGGGACACAGACGACAGTAGTTTTATTCCTGACATAAGTAAAACTGTTTATTTTTAATGGTTAATAGGAAATGTCTCATGCATAGCTTCAAAGAAACAATTTCATTCTTGAAGAACGAACAGATAAATTAGCTGATTGATTTTTTGTGTCCTTGGGGCACAGCATCATAGACATGCTAGCCACGACTTTAACAATCCTTCTACTGTACTCAGGCCAAACGAAGTAATCAAGAAGTAGCTGCAAGAGGTAACAAACTTCCAACCTTTTCATGGTGCTTTTTTGAGTGATCAGCACCAGAATCATGATGCCCACTTCTATCCTTCTTTTTTTCCTTGTCTTTATCTTTACTTCGATCCTTATCTTTATGACGGTGCCTGTGCTTCTTATGCTCTTTATCCTTCTCCTTATCTCTGTCTTTGTGCTTTTTATGCTTCCTCTCTTTATCTTTGGCTTCCCTCTTTGATTTCCCAGCAATAGTAGGTATCCCTTTTTCACTCTATTAAATAACCATTGTTAAGAACTCAAACTGAAGTGATGACTATTGAAGAAAAAAATTGTCAATAAGAAGAGTAAACAATATATGAGCATTAAATTTTACTGATTTACTAAGCAAAGGCATAATGTCTAGAATTGCCATTAGCTTAAGAAACTTAAATAAAACTAATCTCAAAGCAGTAAATTTCTTACAGCTGGCAATTCAACAGGACTGGTTTCTCTCAGCTGGAAAGCCTCCTTAAGAATATCCAGGTCAAAAGGCTGTATGCGGACATTAATTTCTCTGTTATGGGATGTATTCTGAATAAGCTGGTCCAACTGCATCCCTTCTCCTTTTCTAATTTCAGTGTCTCCCACCGTATTATGAAGATAATGTGTGTCTGAAATGGACAAAGGAAGAGGTCTCTTGCAGAAGAAGTCATGGTGAGGTAACAACTTATAGTGACTTACAAGATCAACAGCACCACTAAGTTCCCTTGGTCCTAAATTTGTTCATATAAACAGTTTCTTGTCAGTTGAGAAGAACAATAGTAAAAATCCACCAAATAACTTTACACGAAATTAGAGTCAACTCTCTTAAATTATCAATCCAAAAATTTCAAATGTTACACTGAACCAGAATCAAGTGTCAGGTAGCCTAGGGATTTTCTGTCAGTAATACGTTGTGCAACATGCATCATGTGTGACTTTTGCATCATTTGAGTAACTTACTTAGCAAGTAAAAGATAGTGGATGGTCTTATGCTGATATTGGGTAATTATTTTATGAGGTAAGTTATACAAAAGAAATGATTTTATTAATGAAATACCTTAATATTCTCTTATGAGGAGAGTTTTCAAGATAATATATATATATATATATATATTTATATATATAACAGATGGTTTTATGTATAAATATATGACAATGATGAAATGATAAACCAAGCAAAGAAGTTTTCAGGTATTTTAGACTGATAAAATATAGAATAGGGCATGATGCTGCCATATCAAAATGATACTGACTGATACCAATGCAATGTCATTAAACTATTTTCCTCTTATGGAAGAAAAATATATAGTCCACAAACTTTATCAGTAAAAGTTAACAATCTTTAATTAAGCTTACAGAATAGGTTATGTGATACGCTTTTCTTTATGTTTATTATTATAATTTAGTTATTTGTTAGTGACTATGTTTTTATTAATTAAGAGGTCATGTGAATAGCATGTCCGCTGTTAAGTTTGAATGGCTAGGATTAAATAGGGTTGCATATCCAAGGGCTAGGATTTAAAGCTGCAGTAACTACAGTATAAAAAGTCATTAGACACATTAAACAACCATATTATACTTGGATGTTATTGTTAGAGGTTCTACAACCCTCAACCCTAGTTTCATTGCTCCAGCTTTGATTTTACATCAATTTCAGCCTCTGTTCTGGTTTTCTTTCACTGGTTTGGTTTCCATCTTAACATTTTCTACTTCCACATTACACCACAACAATATGGCTAAGACAAGTACAATTAGTTGTTAGAAGCAGAGAGGATAGTTCTAACCTACAACAGTTAGAACTCAACATGGTCAGATACGACCAACTACAACATTCAAGATTCTTAATTCCTTTCCTCTGATATGCAGTTTCCTCATTCAGATAGAAGGGAAGATGACTGTTGGTCTAACTTTTTTTAACATCTGCTGCTCTATGGGAATACAACAGGCTAAACTTAGAAGAAAAATAAGTACAATCATCAAGATACGAATGATCCACAAGAGATAAAAACCTAATACCAGATCCAAAAGCTCCAATCTCAACCAAACAAATGCAATGCAAATAACATAGGACAAATAATAAATCAACATTCTAAACATATAGTACCTCTTCCGAATTTCTTGTCTTCAGGATCCATGAGTTTATGAGTCATGAAACATGTATCATCATCAACTGCAATTTTGTAGATTAAATCAGGGAAAACATCCATGAACATCAAGTAAAAACAACTAAAAAGGCAAATAAAATTCAAGTAGATCTTGGGTAAGTTAAACATAACCATCACAGGCCAGTAATATAGCATAAAAATGCCAATTTTTACATATTAAAATTGAAAATGCATACATTCCTATGGTAAGTACATTTCTTTTTTCAATTCGTTCCCCTATTGTTGCATGTGTACAAAACTAGCACCTTACAATTTTTAAGTTCTAAAGCCGACTTTCACATCAAATATATGACTTCTCCAACGTAGCAATTACTTTCTTTGCCATCATCATTCTTACAATTTTGTTTATATTCAAAAAAATTATATCATTAGTACCAAATGATAAATGATTTTGCTACAGCATATATGTCATTCCCAGTCGTCACTTTCTTCAATTGTTACAGATCTAATGGGGAAGGAAATACGTGGAAGAGAGCACAGATGCAGCCAAAGTTTAGTTTAAAATGCAGCATGTAGATTAAAGAGCTCTAGACTTGTATAAATCTTGCAAGATTAAGTTTTATTGCTGCAGAGCATCATCAACTTCATCCAAAATCAATATGGGAATACGAATTCTGCATCTCTAAGGGTAGCTGAGTAGGAAAGACCTGTTAAGGTAAAGGAATCTTCAAATTGATCACCATAAGGTGGAGTCGGATGAAGGCTGCCATTGGAAGGCCTATTTAGAAACAGTTTGGGTAAAACTAGGAAACCTTTTACCAGAGAGCTAGTGTATTGTTAATGAAGAAGAATGAGATCCGCCCCTCTGAAACCCTCATGTTTTAATAATTTAACAGTTGACATAATGCACAGTTGGGTAAAGATGTCAACTGTCAAGAAAAACTGATAAAAGCCTAGATAACCCCTTCATTTTAGAACAAAAAGAAATATGGTCGCCGAACTTGGATTAATATTTGCATTAAACATAGCAAAGCACCCACTACCTCAAACAGAAAACTAAACACAGGTTCAGGGGTGGATTTAGTATGAGGCAACTGACCCACTAACTTTAAAAACCATATTTCCCCAGTTAAATTTTATGAAAATATCATCATATATATATTTCACATGTAAGCCAATTAATAGCATATTTTACTTTTAAAAATAATTCTAAAATTCACTGCTAATGATCATAAGTTAGAAAAGTTTTCAAGCAATGGCTTTTTCATTGCACTGAGAAATTGAAATTAGCGTTATATGGAATACTGCATCCACACATAATTTCAGTTTAGTTTAAGCTCACCTCTAACTTTGCTACTAAACTCCCTTTAACCACAAAAAAAAAAAAGAACTTTATCAATCCTTCTTAATTTTCACATAAGCATCTAATATTTTACACATAACAAACACCAAAATTATAAAGTTAAATTAATTTGTTCGCAATTTCTTCTCAATTTCTCATTTGCACTAATTTTCTCCTTGAAATCTTCATCGTTATATAAATTTCCAAGAAAAATAAAACCAAACATAAAGAACACGATCGGAACGATTACTAATTCTATAAACAAAGAAGAATTTGAAGGGAAAACATCATAATTCTTCATTTAAAAAGCTTCAACAAAGAAACACAAAAAACGTAAAAGAGAAATCAAGAATACCTCTAACATGGATCCACGCAAAGTTGCTAAGGTACTTTTTCAGATCACGAGAAAGCAAAGCACAAAAATCAAGCTCCTTTCTCTTCTATTCAACACGGTCCTCACGTCTCACTACCAGTAAAAAAAGAGTACGGAAACAAATTCAAACAAAAATCAAGACCGCCTAAAAATTTAAAACAAAAAAAAAAAAAGAAAACGAAAGGTGGAGAAATTGACCAGTGGAATGGAGGGAGCGAAAAGGGCTGGAATTGAATGGAATTGGAGAGGGAGTGAAGAGAATGGAAGGGTAGAATCGGTAGATCAGAGAAAGTTCGAGAGAGTTCTGAAGCAGGCAAAGAAAGTTAGGGTTTGCAAAGGGGACGAACGACGAAGACTTCAACAATTTTTTTTCTCTTTTCTCTCTCTCAGGCTTCGGGTCCGTAGCTTCTCTGGGTCTCGGCGTGTTTTATTTACTTTATTCGTTTTTTTTTTTTAATTCTTTTTTTTTGGGGTGGGGGGGGTGGGGGGGGGGAGGATGGTCGAAGAGCCGGCTGATTCAACGCCCTTGCCGATGTTTGTCACTCGCACAGACGCGGGTCCACTAGCCAAAAAGTTAAAATAAAGTATAATCGAATCGAATGGGATTAATATAATAAAAAATTAAATTTAATTCAAAATTAATTGTTTAAATTTTGATTTGATTTTAATTTTTAAATTTAAATGTAATTTAAAATAAAAATTTAATTATCTAAATTTATTTGATTAGATTTATTTAATAAAAATAAATTTTATTTTTATACTCAATTTTAAATTTAATTATATGTTTTAACTCAAATTAATATATATAAATAAAATAATAATTTTTTAATTAAAAAAATAAAAATGGATTAAAATTTAAAAATTCACTTTAGAACTACTTAAATTAAATATTATAACACTCAATTTCAATTAGTTTCGTTTTATAAGTCAAATTACTCAAACTCAATTTAATAAAAATAAAATTAAATTCAAATTTTATTCGAATTAAATTCAAATAATTTAAAATTATTGATTTATTATTTATACATCAAATTTAAAAAATATTACTTTTGTTTTCAATTTTTTTTGCTAATTTTTTCAAATATATAACACTAGAAAATAATTTGTTGTCCAAAATTAATATCATACTAATTTAGTAATTTTTATTATATGTATATTATTTAACATAATATTTCATGGTTTCACATTCAAATAACTCAATAATATTGAAATCAGCTTTAAATTGGAATCCCAACTGATATTAAATAAATAATGAGCTGTTAATTCAATATTTCTCAAATCGATTCCAAGAATAGTGATCTCAATTTCAAATTAGCCAGTAATACTGGAAAAATTGATGGTGTTCAAATTCACTCGTATCCAGAAAGACAAAAAGGTCGTCAGAACGAAGATTTGGAAGCCACAGATAGTGCCTTATATAATATAAGTACTAAATAATCCGCAGGTAAAAAGGCTAGTTTCTCATCCCTAATAAACATGCAAAGATGTAAATTCTAGCAGCATAACAAAAGATAAGCGGGCAAAATATGCCCAAAATTCCAATGCTCAGTTTACTCAGCATATTCCTCATCCTTAGATCATCATCATCATCAACTTCAGTAGCTTAATCATCATCCTCATCATAATCATTAGCTGAATTTAGAGCTTTCAACCTATCAATCAACTTAGCCTTCCTTTCCTCGTACGTCAGCTTCTTCAGGTTGTACCTGTCGTGCAGGACCACGTTACTTTGGACTTGAAATACTTAAAAATCGTTTATATGAACATGCAGGGAATAATAATAAATTTTCTTTCAAGCTATAACGAGTTCGGCCATGCCTGGTTTAATTGGCTGTCCGAACTTTTTTGATAAATAAATTGCCGGAAGAAAGAGAAAGAAACTATACCTTTTGTGTTCCTTAGGAGGAGCCTTCTCAGATTTCTTTGCTTCTGGATCTGCGTGAATAGCAGCATGAACCTTCTTGTACATTGCCTCCATGTTGTCAGGTTCAATGCTTCTCTTTATGTACTCACTGAAGTGAGACTGGTACTTCTCTGGCTCATCTTCCATCAAAGTCTGTCAACTTGACAAAGTGAGAAACTTACAGACAGACAGATAAGATATGAAACGGTGTCCAAATTAAGACCTAAAACAAACTTCAGCACCTTTCTCACCCCCCCCCCCACAAAAAAAAAAATAAAAAAATAAAAAGAGAGAGAGCTTCCATACTATCATCACTCAGATCTAACCACCACTTCGTAAACTCTAATCTTACCCTCATGTATGCAGCAACATGGCCCCCGTAAATGTATTTGCGGTGAACTTCAGGATCAAGTTGCTTACTGTCCTTGTTAAATCCAGCAAACCTCTTGTCACTGTGAGGAATATCAATTCCGCCATCCAAAGCTCCCTAAAGGAAATGGAAAGAATACACATGTTAAAGCTGAATGGAAAGATAGTACATGCGGAAAATTGACAAGCTAAAAGATATTCAAGAATGTTTTCTTCAGCTACAGATGGGCAGCAAAGCATGGCCTAGCTGTTAAAAATAAAAAGAAAAAAAACAATTATTGTGGCACAAAATTTAATCATATAAAATATTTGTCCCAATTGCACAAAACTATTTCTTTCACTTCCAGAAATTAACAGCCTAACGCCGACCAAAGACCGTGCTTATATACATAGAAACATGTGCATTTGAATGAATGCTGATGAGAAACATCCAATGCACTGAAAACTCAACAAGTGCGTGTAATCAAAAGAAATCACAACTTCTATAAAAGATTTAGAAGAAGAAAACCAATGAATAAAGTTTAACTCAGGGACAAATATATAGGAAGAGGTTTCACAATACCTTGAGAACACCAAAAACACGGTTACCAGTGGTTGTTCTGACAAGACCAACATCAAGGAGAGCACGGAAAGGCCTCCTGCTCTCTGCTGGTTCGACAGTGAAGTCCTCCCCAGTTGCCTATGAGCAAATGACACATACTTGATTTCCATCCACAATCAAAGATGCAAACTACACATTTTACTCAAATCTAAAAAACCAAGACACATACATACCTCAACATTTCCCTCATACTCGTCATCCATCTCCAGCTGCTTCAGTGTTCGGCGAGCCAAAAGTAGTCCAACACAATAAGCTGTGTTCAAAGTATCGTTAAATAAGATACCATCCTCAATCAGGTGCAAAAAAACCATTTTAACATTTATACAAAAGAAAATCACACACCTGCAGCATAATTTGTAAGGCCAACTTCAAGTCCATAGCAAGGAAGTTCGTGTGAGTAAGCTGCGGCAAGAACCATATCACCAGAAATACTGGCATGTATAATTTGTGCAACTATATCCTTGTTGGTCTAACAAATGGTGTTAAGGTTAGAGTATTAACTAGTAGCCCCAAAATGTTGATATTAATACCCAATAGGAAAATAAAGAACATAATATGACATCATCGATGAAAGAAGAATCAAGGTATTTTATTACATTTAATTGCCTATAAAAATTCTTATAATACGTCTTAACTGAGTACCCTCAAAAAACCAACAGACCATCCAAAAAAATTCACTAGAAATAACATAAACAATTGCAGCTTGCTACCCACATCATAAACCGAATGAAAAGGAGGAAAAAAATAATCAGTCAGATATTAGGATACAAATCGCGCGACCAAACGATATTTTGGGGTGTTGTACTTGTTCTTGTCCTGATTGATAAGTCGGGTCCTAGCCCGGTAGTCCGTCTTGCCCTCTACAAAATTCAAAAAGTTATTAAAACCTCACAGCATATCACCATTCAGGGTATAGGCATCATTATCATACCTCGCCTTCTCTTGAACTTAACTTGAAACCGCTTGAAGTAAGCCTTACTCTTTTGAGCTTTAACGTAAACCTGTACCATAAAACTAACCAACTCAGAAAACCCAGGCAGCATCTATGATGAACATCTCAAATACAAATAAACCTACGAGATTGTCAACTACTAAAAACACATTTTTTTTCATTTCTCTGCCGGAAGCAAAATGGAATAGCAAAACCAACATCCAAACATTACCTAAATCTTTTCAACGGAAAAGAATAAACAACTTTAATTTCATGCTGCTGGTTTCAAATCTCAGGTTAGTTGACTTTCCATATCAATTGAGTAAATCGAAAAAAGAACTAAAAATAGGGAAAAAAATCACAATTAAACTTAAAAATTAGTTAAACCTAAAATATATTTAAATAAATTACAGGAAACAAAAAAAAAAAAAGAGCTTAACTCAATTGATTGATTCTTTTCTCAAACAAAATCCTAACAACGTTAAAAAATGAATCCAATATTCATTTCTTTCATGTTTTCATAAGTTTTAAGCAATCAAAAACGTGGAACAAAACAGGGATCTGACATTAAAAACTGAAGCTATACATTATACAAAATGAGATTGACAATCAAAGTAAGCGAAGCCAATGTATCATAAAAGGATAGTAAATTGGAATATATATAAATATATATATAAAGAGAAAAAATTATTGTGACAAGAGTGAGTTTCACCATGGCTTCGAGCGCAGGTGTTTGCAGCCAAGCTTTGAGGATGTGTGAAAAGAAAAAAAGGTGATAGTTAAAACCCTAGCGAGTCTTTTATCGGAGAAAATCAACGGTGATGATTGGTTTCTTTAATTAACAGGTAAGATTTACCATGCGTTATAGGCTGCGTTGGTGCACCCAGTCTGGAGTTTTGACGCGTGTAAATGGTAAGGATTTGCAATTTTTTAGAGGCAAATATTATGGTTACATATAGAATGCTATCCCTGCCTTAGCGTAGGATTTTTTAAATTTTTATAAAAATAATTTTAAAAATTTTATTATTTTTAGTTTTGGAATTTTTGAGATTAAAAAAAAGTTTGACAATCTTATATATAAAGTTTTTTAAATGATTATTTGTGTTAATTGATTATGATATAATATAAAAAATATTTTATATTTAATATACAAACATAAATTATTATATAATATTTTTTTATAATTTATGTAATTAAAACATAAATAAATATAGTGCAAATATAAAACCTATCAAATCTATTACAATCCGTTTTTAGAATTCAGAAATAATGAGATAGTTTTTCATGGTAAAGAAAAAGAAAATTAGATAATATTTGATTTTAAAAAACAGAATTATTTTTGTTTTTATTTTTTTTAAAATTAAAAAATATGAGTGAAAACATATTTGATAATTAAAAATAAAAATAAATATTTAAAAAATGATAAATAATAAATTGAAATATGAAAAAAAAATACTTTCAATTGAAAAAAACAAAAGATGTATATTATTTTTTTTGTATTTTGTAAATTATTATATTTAAATATTTTTAATATCATTAATTAATAAAATATGTATTATATTTATAATTAATGAAATCTAATTATAAATACAAATAAAATATTTAAATTAAAAATTTAATAAATATGTATTATATTTATAATTAGATTTTATTAAGAATAATATCATTGAATATTTTATTTATTTATTTTTACATTTTAAAAAAATAATTTTATTTTTATTTATTAAATATATTTTTTAAAAACAAAAAATAAAAAAAAAATTTTAAAAATAAAAATAGTCTTATTTTTTAACTTTCATATCTTGTCAAAAAAGGAACAGACTACCAGATGAAAATCCTAAACGCATCTCCAAAGTCAATACTCGACAGAACTGAAAACCGCTTCTCCAAAGTTGAAACCTTGAAAAAGACAAAGCCAAACTCTGCCCGTACCGTATCTGTTGTCTGTTCCAAATCACAACCTTCCCGATCTGATTGGCCCCCGACCAATTTTTTCTACGACAACATCATATATATTAATGATTCTGCCATTGCATGATCTATATTCAGTGAAATGGGATCCTTTTTATTTCCCTGATCTTCAAAGAGGATGTCCCAAGCTGACGTCTCTTACAGGTAGTTGTCATTTCAAATCCCTTTCCACTCTTTTCTTATTGCTCAATTGCAATGTTTTTGTTTCTGGGTCATCTGGGTTTTCTGTTAAAAAGCTAGAAATCATGGCGTTTAATCAAGTTCTGGTATTTTCTTTCGTGCTTTGAATCATGGCGTGTGGGTTTTTGGTTTCTTGTAATGACATGATTTAAAGACTATCGAACGTTGGTAATTGTCCCTTTCCCCATCATTTTGGTAATGTTTTATGGTAGAATTGATTGATGTTTCTCCCGTGATGTATTCTATGATGATGTCTTGCAGTTGTGGGTCTTGTGGATACCCTTTGAACTTGACATCTTCCAATCGAATCACCTCTGGTATTGGCTCTGAATATCGCAAATCCATAAAGCAAGGTTTCATCTCCTTTTTATCTGTTGATCTTAGTCGATTCACACAGGTCGATGAAGTGCATTGCTTTCCTTTCAGTTGGGGCCGTTCTCGTTCAAAAACAAAACTCCTTTGTCGTAAATGTGGGGTTCATATAGGCTATGGGTATGGAGATGCTCCTGCTCTTTGTGGCTTTGACTCTCCCAACTCATCTAGTGCTGCGTATAAGAAGTTTGCTATAAAGATCCGAGCTTTACAGCCTTCAGAAGAGTGCTAACAAGGTTGACATTGGGAGAGCCTTTGATGGATGGTGTTACTTCCATCACGCACCTACCTGATGATTGCCTCTCTTTTATTTTCAATTGTCTTGACTGTATGTCTGACCGTGAATCATTTGGCCTAACTTGCCGCTGCTGGCTTAATATTCAAAACTTGAATCGTCGGTCCTTACAGTTTCCATGTTCTTTCAGTATTATTGGCCCTTCCTTGTTATCTCAGAGCTGTATTGACATCAACTCATTCCATCTTCACAGGATTCTCACCCGTTTTCAGCGTTTAGAGTATTTATCCCTTTCTGGTTGCATAGAGCTACCTGATTCAGGCCTAACCTACTTGAAAAACTATGGTTCAAGATTGAAAACCCTGTGTCTGGATTGTTGTTTTGGAATCACTGATTATGGGCTTTCCCTGGTTGGTAATGGTTGTCCCTCCTTGACTGTCATTAGTCTTTATCGATGCAACATTACTGATGCTGGGCTAGAAGCTTTAGCTAACACTTGCTGGTCTTTGAGGCATGTGAATCTTGCTTATTGCCCACTTATTTCAGACTCTGGGTTGAGAGCTCTTTCACAAGGATGCTGTCAGCTTGGAGCAATTAAGATATCGAATTGCAGGGCTGTGAGTGGTGTTGGCTTAAGAGGCTGTTCATCAACTCTGGTTTACGTAGATGCTGAATCTTGTAATCTTGAACCAGAGGGAATAATGGCGATTGTTAGTGGAGGTGGGCTTAAGTTTTTAAACATTGCTGGCTTAAGTTGGTTGAACTTTAGAGATGGGTTGGCAGAAATTGGGAATGGATTTGCAGCAAGGCTTAAAATCCTTAATCTTCGAATGTGTAGAACCATCAGTGATGCTTCGATTGTTGCAATTGCCAAGGGGTGTCCACAACTTCAAGAGTGGAACTTGGCATTGTGTCATGAGGTTAGGTTTTCAGGGTGGGCTTCCGTTGGGTTAAACTGCCACAACTTAAAGAAACTTCATGTGAATCGCTGCCGAAATTTATGTGATCAAGGATTGCAGGCTCTGAGGGATGGCTGCAAACGGCTCTCTGTTTTGTACATGAACCGAAATTGTAGGATATCAGATACAGCAGTGGAGTTGTTTAAACTGTATAGAGGCAACGTTGAGATCAAAGTTGAAGAAGTAATGTCCATAGGCCCTGATTGGGACAGCCTGGAATATGATGAGTAAGAGATTGGCAATCTCATTTGGCACGAAAAGCTATTGATGCTACATGTATACCATTCAACTTGAGGCAATTTTCAGCCTTGATTGATAAGGTCACCTATAACATAAGTTATATAGTTGCATTGATGAATATATTTGATTATTTGAAACATATGAACTTTAAAATGATGCAAGGTTTTTCATACAGCATGAGACTTTTCTTAGCTTTTTTTTTTTAATTGAAATTGCAATCTCTCATTTATACTACCTCACTTGTGTTTGACCAAAGAGACTGCTACAATTTCATTTTCGTAATTGTTCGATCTTTGTGGTTTTTGCAAGATTGTGTTTGTTAATTTTAGATTCCCGTTGAATTTTTTTTGGCAAAAAAAAAAAAGAATAAAATATTGATTGTAATTGATTTTGAGGGTGCTTAATGCATAGATTTGTAACATCATTGGAAGCAGGGGCAATTGCAAATGAGAGGCTATTGCGGATTGGGGGTGACCCCTATTAGCCAGCCAATGTAAGTTTTGGGTGGAATGTCACTCTTGCATCAAGTATGAAGTCTTTATCGTGGAACTTCTACAGGCTAATACAGTGCTTAATAGGAGACATTTAAAGGCAGATGGTGACTGCATGTGATGGAATAAATGACATTATTGCAACAATTTTATTAAAAAAATCAAGACAAGTAAACAGTAAACACTGATTCATTTTGAAAAATAAATCATTGTGACTTCACATGATACTTTGTTGATTCAAGCATCATACTTTTCTTTCCTCGGTATCAAAAAACCTATAGGCAGATTTAGTGGCTATTCTTATGTTTCATTTTTTTAACACTATGGGAGTGCTTGGTACGTTCAAACCATGCAGAAAAACTTCGGCAGCAAGCATTCTCCAGATAAGCACCACCTATTCCTCATCAAGCATAGGGAGTCAAACAGGGGCAAGTAGTGTATATCCGTGCTCCGACAAGCCCTTTTCAAATTCTGGTACAATTTTCCTGGAATTGTTGGATGGAAAATAAATACCAAACTAAGTGCTAGCATTTTCTCCCCATACATTGTCCCATGCACCACTTGGAGCAGCCTTCGGCCCCTCAATATAGTTTTGATTCCTATGAGGGTTATGGGGTCCTGGGAGTCCTCCAGGTCCCTGTTGATTGATCTTTCGGGGTTTTGTTTTGATTCCCAGCAGCCTTAACACAAATCTAGCTAATTCTCCATACAATAATCCTGTGCGATCAAAAAGCTGCAAATAATGATGCCAAGAGTCATCATTTTACAAATTTCATTCACCAAAGAACAGTATTCCTTGATTCAACTATTACTTTTGAAAATCAACCCCAAATTGGAAAATGGGGAGGAGGTAAATATAAAGAAAGCAGAACCTGAAGAAGAGCAGACATAAACATGTGGAATGCCTGTGTATTCTGGTCTATCAGAATAGCTATCCGGCCAAAGAAGTTAACAGCACCTTGCATCTGCAATCAGTGAAGGAAGCAATTATCACTATGACACACTGAAAGAATGCAGACTGGGAAAGATTCATAAAACTATATCATGCAACAACTGGCCCCAAACGTAAAAGGATAAATTATCTTTTTCATAGTAGAAACACTTCCCTCTCACCCAAGATGTAACACGCAATAATATAGCTCTGTATCAGAGATCTAAATTGACTGTGAAAAAAGTTTAGAGTTAAATAACAGCTCATCAAGTGTTTCTGACAGTTTAGCATTAAAGATAAGTCACCATGGACATGCCCTCCATGCAAGATCCTAAACAACCCCCCCAACAAACCAATCCCAAGCCCCCCCAAAACCCCAAACAATACCTTCCCCCCTACATCTCATATTTTAGTTCTTTAGAAAATGGCCAGTGAAATGATGAAATACATAAGCATTTCCTGTAGAGCATAATTTGAGCTCAAGAACAGAGCAAAGGATAAAAGGGAATCAACAGCTAAGGTGGTGAGCTGGCATTAAAGCTAGGATTGGACATTTTAAATAACACATGATATTGTTTACAATCAGATAAAAATTAAGTTAATGATAAAATGAGAAAGGAATTACCACACGGAGGAAGGAAATCCAAAAGCCTGGAGGGCATGGTGGAGCACCAAAAGGACTATTTGGATCTTGCTCACCATATGGACCCATGCCCATCCCATAACCACCACCCATTGGACCCCCAAAGCCACCAAGGCCACCACCGTACATTCCAGAGTTCTCATATAGACCACCATAACCGCCTCTATACATGCCATTGCCATACAATCCACCACCATAAGACCCTAATCCACCATATGATGAACCATACATTCCCGAACCATACCCTGAGTTGTAGTTTAAACCAGAACCATAACCTGCATCAAATGCCAAACTTAGACAAGCTCCACAACAACTAACCCTTTGACTTATAATAAACGAATTAAACCTCTAACCTCCATAAGTGCTCCCATAATTCTGTTGCTCCCAAGGCCTGCTGGGTAAAGGCCTACCAACAGCGTTTCTATTCACAGCCGTAGTTCTATCAGCAGTTGAAACAATTTCACCCGGTCTTGCTGTTCCGGCTGCCTCAACCACATCACTGGTGCTGCCAGCTGATGGTGGCTTAAAGGGTCCAGAACCAGCCGAGCCCCCAGCTTGCTCCCATGGTTTAGGAGGAGAGCCACCAGCAACTGTAGTTGCAGAACATCAATTACAATCAAATTACCCAAAAACAAAAGAAATAAAAATCAATATCAAATATTTAAAATTTGTAACATCCAATCCAAGTTAATCATCCTTTAATTTCTTTACCTAATTCTATTACAAACAAACCCAAAAAAAAAAAGGCAAAATACACAAAAAAAAATCCCAAATTTCCGAAAATAAACTCTATTGATTCTTAATTTCCTTAACAAAATCACCAACCAAGCAGAACAATTAAAAGAACAAAAAAAGAAATAATAAGGATTAAAAACCCTACAATTCTATATTAAATCAATCGATCGATCAAATCATGATGAGAAACCCTAACAAATTAATAAGAAAAAAAGGACCTGGTTTTTGGGAATTAGAGTCCATGGCTTCCGACTCGATCAATGATTTTGAGGACCGCGTTATCTCTGAGACTTCGCCTCGGACAAAGAAAAATTAGTAACGGAGACAGAGCCTTCAACGCTGACCAGTTACGCGTTTAGTTTTGTTACTTGTATTTCTGTTTAATTATCACGTTTGGCACTTTAATATATTTTTAAATAAAAAAGGGGTATTTTTTATTTAATTTATAAATTTATTTATATTTATATCTTTTTTGTTTTTAGTTGAGCACGAGATTTGCTAATAATAAAATTAATTCCAATTTTTTAATGAACTGTCTTTTGTTTTTCCTTTTATCTACGTATAAATATCTCAGATACGTACAAAAAATATAAATACTTCAGATATTTTGTCAAGAGTGTAATTACCGGTCGGTAACTTTAACCCTTCTGCGGTTTTGTCATGTTTAAAAAAGATGGAAGGGGGTAAAAAAAAAAAGTGAAAAGAAGCATCTCAGACAGTGTTCAAAAGGGGAGAAAAAAAAAATTCTGTCGCTCTCTCAGGAAAAAAGTGAAAAAGGCAAAAATTCAATAAAAAAGATTCGATTTCTTAGGCTGGCAATCGAGAAACGGCTCTCCTTCATTTCTATCCCTTTGGAAGAATCCATTCTCTCCTCTTCGTTTTTGTTTTCTGATTGATTAAATTTGTCTTACTTAACATTTAATTTCATATTTACTCCTTCAGATAATAAATAAATTTCCAATTCCAAAACTCCAATACATTTAATTTTAGCTGTTTTTTTTTATTAATGGCTGCGAGTGAGAATCCGACGGGGAATAATCAGGAAGGTTCGTCGAGCCATAAGGTGACGGCTCCTCCTCCGCCAGCTAATGGCGTGTCCGTCAATTCGAACAACAGCGGGGGCAATACCTCAGCCACCGCCGCCGTCTCGGCTGATAAGCAGTCCGCGTTGAGGCACAACCCTGGCATCTCCGTCGACTGGACTTCCGATGAACAATTGATGCTTGAAGATTTGCTCCCCAAGTAACTCTCTCTTCGTTTTTCTTGCTTTATTTTTTAGCCTCTTTTATCTTTTTGTTTCTTTCATTTCTGCTACTTTTTTCAACTTGTCTTAATTTAAATAGCTTTTTTTTTTTTTTAATTCAGAGTGGAAATATTATTTATCTTGTCTTCAGGTTTTGTAGGATAATAGAAGTTAGTTGAGATTGGTAAAAACATTAAGAGCACGTTAATTATATTGATTTTCAAATTTTATACTTGATTCTAAGATGTATAGTGAATGATTTTCTTTGTTGATGTGAGTACTTTTTAGTTCTAGTGAGTATTGGTGTTGTCCTCTTGTTGTATAGGTTTGAGGAAAATGAAGAGATAATTTTGTTCTTTATTTCTTTGTTTCTCAGACGTATTTGGCTGTATCTGTCTATATGTTAGTTGCATTGATGAACTTAAAAACGAGGAGTTCTTTGTACAAAGGAACATTTAGCTAATTGATCCAACATGTCTTTCGTTTTGGTAAAACATGTTCCTGATTACCTTGTTTGTCTTCCTCGGGTCTAACTTTATGCTATATAGTATCATGGATTCACCATTCAAGTGAATGATAGAACCTTACTACAATTAGTTACGAGGTCCAAGATTTACCAATAAAATGTTATTCCAGAAGATTTGGCAAGCTTGGGATGAAAACATGGTTGGTGAGGACAGTAGGGTTGCTTGAGTTGTTACTTGTTATGAATTATATTTCTGATGTTCTTCACCTTGTAAGGTCAAAGCTTTCCATTCATCATGGGAAACTTTCTCTCTAACACAATGCATTAATTTCTGGCATTGTGCTGAAAATAAATGTATGGACAGGTTTCTTTTTTACCATGTCGCAGTTTAGTTCAAAGAAATATCTTTTTCTTGTTACTTGCATTTGTGCTGTTGTGATCTTTTAGAACAAGTAATATTTCCAAAATGTAACTATTAGCATGCTGATTCCATTTTAAGCAATCTGTTTGTTATTTGATTTATAGTTGATATGTGAGTTTAGACAGTGGATCTAGTGCTTGCCCATTTAAACCCCTCTTATAACCATCCTGTCAGAAATCTAAAGTAGATGCTGATTTTATTGCTGGAGAACATAATAGTTTCTGTTATACGTGTCTCTTGTTTTTGCTAAAGTACTATGCTGGTAATTAATAATGTATTTTTCTCCCGGTTGATTTTTGGGCATATTTGATTTTCTCCTGATCTTATTTGTGGTGCTCCCTATTGTTTTCCTTGTTTATTTGTTCACTTGTCTTTGATAAATGAAGGCAGCACAACTAATAGATATATATATATATATATGTCTGGGGATATATCTGTTTGCAGGTATGCCTCTGATTCAACCATAGTTCGCTATGCTAAGATCGCAATGCAGTTGAAGGACAAAACAGTTCGGGACGTGGCACTGCGTTGTAGATGGATGACTGTAAGTTGGTCGCTTCGAATTGTATGTTATTGAAGCTTTGGGACCAATGAGGTTTTCTTTTTGCGTGAAAACAGCTTGAAGGGTTTTGTGATAAGTCCATAATTTGTCGTCCTTCAAAGCAGCTTATCTGGTTATAACTTTAATAATTTGATTGCTTGGATCAAACATTTCATTTTATTTGAATGTCAAGAGTTTCTGTTTAAAAATTATCAGGTAAAAAGTTGTATTTGTCAAGTTCACTAAAAGTTTTTCCCCTTTTGCTCATTGGTAATTTTAAATCTTGTGACTTGTATGGGCACTAACCTTGCCAGCTGATCAAGGAATCAAGAAAAGTCAAGCTTAAAAGTTAAATGTCAAGAAAATCAAGAATTATAATCTTATTTGACGCTTAAGGCCTTACATTGGCCAAATTAGTTGTATTAGGTTTCGATTTTATTTTATTATTATTAGGAAGTAGCAGGTTTTTTTTAATGATTTTTCTTTATTTCTATGAGTCAAGGATATTTGCGTACTTTTGCAGTTTCTGTAGTTCAGGAATATCTTTTTGTTTTTATGTTTTTTTTTTTAATCTTGTTGGGTCATTGTATTATGGTTTCTTTCTTATTTAAAGTTAAATATTATAGTTTTCTGTTTTTTGTACTGGATCTTGAGTCCTTGTAAGAATAGGTTTGCTAGAACCCTGCATATATGCATGTAACCTTCCTAATTAATGGAAAACATGTATATTCAGATTTCAGTTAACTTATATGCATTTTTCTTTGGATTTTGTGAAATGATCCTAGCAAAAGGTGTTTGCATCTGGGACTAAGCTTACAATCATTAGCACTTAAATAAACCTTAAAATTTCAGCCAAAAAAAAACTTAATCTGGGGAGAAACTTTCAAATTACTGTGCTAGTCAGTATTCACTAATTTGATAATGACTTTAGAACTTGTTAGGAACATGGTGACAGTTATAAAAATTCTGGGAATCTTTGTTTGCTTACCCCAAAACCTCATTGGATACCCTTGTTATTCTAATTATTCCCAACCTCTTTTTCCTTGCATCTCAAGTTTTGGCATCCAGAATCATTCTTCTGTAAGGATTCAACTTACGTATTGTTCCTTATCAGACTAATTTCTCACCTTTAATGCTAAAAAGCATCAATAGGTCCTCCAATATAAAATTCAAAACCCAAAACCCTTATAATCAAAGGATTTAGATGTAGTGACATCAACATAGTTATGGCTTCATATCTGATCGGATCTCACAACTGCAATGATCACTTATTCTGATCACTACATGGTGAGTCAATGCAGTAAAAGAGCAGATATTTAGAACCAACTTTCTATGAATTGACTAATATTAAAAATTTAGATCCACCAAGGAATACACGCATGCATTTTCTACATGAACACGTGTATATAAGCTAAGCTTACCCTTTAGATGAAATTGAGATGGTTTGAATTAGATCCATAAAATGGTATATAAACAAGCCAGGAGGTTTTTGACCTTTTTCAGTCATAATAAATGAATGTAAGAGATGTGGAGGATGAATAATCCGGTATTTCTAAATATGCTGCAGTAAAATGCGACTCCTCTGACACTAAGAGTTGAACCTGAGATCCTGTGTTTAAATATCTCCTCTAATGGACTGTCTATATTTGCATGTATGATAATTTGAGATTTAATGCAGAGAGGTGAATAAGCACGTAATAATGCTTGGGCTTTCACTTATCAGCTTTTATCACATGTTCAAAGTATACTCATTAGAAAATAAATGGCATAAGTTTTATGCAACATAGAGAACAATTGATTTTGTGGCTGATGGCGGGGAAAGCTTAAAAAGCCTCTAAATGCTTACTTTGTCCTTCTTAGAATTGTATCTTAATCTTTTTTCTTAGAAGATCTATATTGAGAGCATAATTTTTTTATCTGGCCCAAGAAAATTTTAATTTTTGAGTATCAATGGTTGCAGTTAGTTGAAGCATGCCTACATGTCCTGGGTTTAGTTTTTCTCATTTGATGGGGAACTGGGGTGAATGCATGGAAATGTGAAATGTTTGCTGCAGTGTGGTATTCTTTAGAAATAAATGGCCTAACGTGATTGGCAATAAAAGAGAGATTAACTCCATTTGGAAATTTGTCAAAACTGTCTTCTTTTAGGCTTCGGTTTATCAAATCATAAAGGTTTCCAATTTTCTCTTGTTGTCAGGGATATGGTAGCTTATGATCCTATGGTTATTGTAATGAATCTTATGTGCAGGAGACACGCAGATGCTAATTATTAAAATTGTTATTGGGGGGTTCTTCTTGGGGATCCATTTCTTGTTTTTATTGGAGGCAAAACCCAAAGGCTGATATGTTTGACATGTACTCTTTATCATGGGGTAGAGAAGGGACTATTAATAATGAGGTGGGGCTACCGATAAGCTTATTGATGTCTAATTGATATTTCTAAAATGCAGTAAATTGCAATGACATTAACCTGAATTTCAGCTTTAATACTCACCCTAAACTTCTGTAAGAAATTAATTTTAACCATATTCATATAATATTAAAAATTCTAATTACATAGAGTTGCTAGATTCTACTGAAAATTCAGTGTATTATAGCTGACAACATTAAGATGGCCAACATTCTTCAATGCCATGATACAAATCGTGGATCGTTTGTCAATACTCATGGATAAAAGCTTGACTAATAATTGTGTTTATGACTGAATTTGTTCGATTCCTTCTGCCTTCATAAAACTATGCTATGAGGTAGGTTTTCAACGAATTCTTTATTAATATTTTTTTTCCTGCTCTTTCTTGTGGATGCCTTATCCTTTTCTACATACTTTTCTAAATCCTTTCTCATCTGGAAGAAGTTGTATAGCTCATTGGAAAAAAGGCCTATAGCGAGTTTGGTTATTAGCATCTATCTCTTTAAAAAATTGTAGTTTTATTGTGTAATAGTCTATGGTGTAATGTGTTGTAATCATTTTGCTTTTATTTGTGTAGTAAATATGCATATGAAAGTGTGTTGTATTTGTATGCTAAAATATCACCTAGTTGAATATGCTTGCAGAAAAAGGAAAATGGCAAACGAAGGAAAGAGGATCATAATTCAGCAAGGAAAAATAAAGACAGAAGGGTATTTTTGTCTAAATCTTTATGCTAGTACAATTGATCTATGCAATGTATTTCTACACTGGTTCATATTTCATAATTGTTCCTTGAAGTATGCCTTCAGAAGAAAGTTCTTTCCCTATGATTAAGTTTTTACCTATGATTGAAGATAGCATGTTTTGGCATTCTTGACATGACAGTTGCTTGAAATTTATATATATCTCACACATCCACTCCTGCAGTCATTATACTCTCATCATCCTCCACTACATATGCATATCGAAATTCTTGAAATTAAGTTGTGCCAGAAAATATTCAAGCTGGAGGGCAACTAGATTTATTACCTTTGTTACATACACATATCTAGTCAATTAACATGCCCCTGAGGTACAGCGGACAATTCCATAGTTGCATCTTAGTTCTTGTCTTAGGTAAGTTGCTTCTGTTCTTGAAAGCTCAAGTTGAACAGGAAAAGGGTACGGAGTCTTCAGCAAAGTCTACACCTCATTTAACAACTAGGCCTAATGGTCCTTCATATGCTCCACCAATTATCCCTATGGACAACGATGATGGCATCCCATCCAAAGGTTTGGTTAAGACATGTGTTAAAGAGAACTTTACTCTTTTACCAATATAAAAATTACAGCTGGGCAGAAAATTTGAGCTTAATTTTTTATGTTCAATCAGCGTAAAGATAATAGCTAATGTTTTTCTTTTAAAAATTTATTAAATTTGATCAAGCTTAAAACTTGAAGTAGAGAACACAGGGTGATTCTTTGGATCTGACAAGGGTCTGACCATGTAGAGCATAAAACTTAGGTTAGGTTTAAGATTTACCAACAGAAAAATGAGAAAAAAAAAAAAAAAAGAACAAGATAGGAGAGATTAGACTGAGCCATATTTGAGATGTCAATATAGTCATTTTGCTTTTTATACACTTTTTTAATTCGAATTATATCTTTTCAGCCATTGGTGGCGTGACGGGAGAGCTGCTTGAACAAAATGCTCAAATGTTTAATCAAGTTTCTGCAAATTTTGCAGCTTTCCAGGTGAAGTATTTGGTTTCAATAAATTTTCCTCCATAATTGTGTGCTAATGTACATCTGCTCTGATATTCTTCTGAGCAGTTATTTTCTAATTTTGCATTCATTACCGCTGCTGCTGCTTCATTTTGCTTTAAGTGGTCATCTCTCTCTCTCTCTCTCTCCTCAAGGTTTACATCTTGTCAAGGAAGTCCTTTGTTTTTCATTGGAGTTGAAATCTTTCTATTATGTTTATTTAAAACTTATTCTAAATATGTTTTTAATCCACTTGTTTATATCAGGTCATTGTTGGTTTTGATTGAAAGTAACATGGTAATAATGGAATGACAAAAAAATTCAACTTAATGAAATGAAACTAATTTGATTTTATGAGAACGTACCAACACTCTGGTTCTTTATCTACTGAACTAATACTTAGTTGGTATGCAGTTGTTTTGCAGACAACTAGCAAATGTTCCACTATTAGACGTTACTTTTCATTTATTACTCAGAATTATCAATAGTTAATATGTATATCTCTTACATTTTGGCACCTGGTAAAATGATGCCAATATACTGTCTAAATGCACTCTATGTAAATGAAAGTTATTTGATGATTACAGCCATCTGATTGCTTGCCCTTGTATCAGAATGTTGTAGCTTTAAGCCTTTAACAGCTGCTGTCTCCCTAGTAGATAATGACATATGCCTTCTTTACTGATTGTTATTATTACTGTTTATTCAATGCAGATACATGATAATATAAGTATCTTATGCAAAGCTCGGGACAATATCCTTTCAATCTTGAATGAGTATGTTATTAACTCTATGATTTCTCTGTTATGTCCAAATTGGAGTTTTTTTTAATTTTGTTTTTTAATGTTAATTTGAGGCATCATCAATGTTGCATTTTTCTGTACGTTCCTTGTCATGCACTGTGAAACAGTATATGGTGATCATGAACTCTTTTACTTGTCAAAAGACAACAACAACAATAATAACAACTAAGCCTTGTATCTCATAACTTTGAGGTCGGCTGTATGAAAGACCAAAAGAGAATCATGTTAGGTCAGAGTTTCAAATCTTCTTGCGCCACTCATTTCTATCCACAACTCTTTTACACGTCAACAATACCATTAATATTATTATTGCTATTGTCATTGCAGTTTCATGTCTGTTAACTTAATCAGTTTCCTTCATTGAAAATCATGAGCATGAAAAAGCAGCTTAGATTGGCAAGACTTTTTTTTCTTTGCATAATATAGGGGTGGGCTTTTTTCTTGTTCTAATAGCAAACTAAAAATCATGTTGAAGTTTGAATAGTGAAAATAAGGAAGACAGTGATCCTAGAACTAGTCAATCCGAGGCAATGATGGGAAAATGTAATTGCATGAGCAATAGGCATTAGGATGACCATTGTTTCGAATGGCTGAATTAAGGGGAAATATGACATAAACAAAATTCCTTGCGGCATAGAAATATGTTTTGTTCTGCCGTGTGCAAGAGAATAGTTTTGAAATAACAAAATTTTTTTTCCTCCTTAAAGCAATAAGCTGCTGTATTTGTGAAGGTATTCATTATTGTTGCAGCATATACATACACACACACACACACACATTGGTTGTCTGTGGGCTGTCTTGCACGTGAACTTGTTCTTCAAATCTGTGAATAATAGCACATTGTAGTTTTAAATAGAGCAATTTATAGTATATATGTGCTGTACATTCTTTAATGTTAAGAGTTTTTTTGCAGCTTAAATGACCTGCCAGAGATAATGAAACAAATGCCTCCACTTCCGGTCAACGTAAATGAAGAACTGGCCAACAACATCCTTGGTCATCCATCCCATCAGATGCAATCATGATTGGGGCCATTCTGATGATACTTCTGACCATTTGTTTCATGCTGGAATTCTCAATTCAAATCTGAAAACAAGGTAAAACTAAAAAAGGGAATAAACCGGTCAGTTAATCAAGTCATTTTGTTAAATTAAAAATGTTTTCGAAGTGTGTTATTTCTATCATGTTTTATAACTTATTTTGACATATGATTAATTTTAGGAACTATTAGTCTGTGTAGCTTGTGAATAGTTAATTATGTAGAATGAAATCCTTTCTGTATAATCATTGAAGGAAAAGTCAATCCTAGTTGAAGTTCAGTGGAAAGAGATAAAGTGTGGTTGCATTAATACTGATTCTAGCTCAAAATGTTATCTTGGAAGAATGAGATTGGTTGGGTTGAGGTTTGATGGTAAGGTTAGAGGGCATTTTGCTTGAGGACCCTCTCCCCATGTGCAAAACAATGAATGAATCAGGATTGATATTGCATTCTTGGCATGGCTCAACCGATAGGGATGGAAATAGGCTTCTGACTAAAGTTTCTTGTAGCCATCCCACTTGTTTAGACTTTGGCCTGGCCACTGGACTCTCCTAAACTGGATGGCATGGCTGGTGTTTCATAATCTAATCCTAATCATAATATCATTTTATCTTATTTTATTATAATTTTGCGAATTAAATAACATCTTTAGCTTTTGATATTTGTGTAACTCCGTTGGATTTTAAGCTACACAAAGAGAGATATCTTATGGATGATGAGTCCACACTTGCAAAATGATTTTCAAATATCAAAAGAATAGGTCGAAACGCCTGAAGTATTCTTAAAACAATGGCATTGCATCTAATTAGCAAATTAGATAAATTCTTGGACACAAATAATTTCCCTATATCCAGTTCATCTTGATCAAATCATTAGCTTTTTAAAAATTGAAATGATTCTAAGAAAATTTTACCAAATTTCATTAATCTTCTTTGTATCAAATTATTTTTTTTTAATTCATTTCATAATTGCATAACTTATAAATAAATTCGCAAATGTGGAACATCTAATTAATTAATTAATCAATTATAAAATCCAAAAAATTTTAAAATACAAATTAAAAGAAAAAAAATTTACTTGAGCAGGATTAGGGTTCTCCGAAGGAAGCGATTCCAGATTCGACACTTGAATGTCTAGCGCATCAAAATTCTGCTTTACCCGAAAATTTTTCACGAGACATTGGATAAATACAATTACGAAATACTCGTAGAGAGAGTCAAAATTACGAAGACAAAAGAAGAAATGTTACTGCATCAGATTTGAGGGCATAACGGTCAGTCCAGAGATCTTTATAGATGAATTGAGAGATATTGAAGCTAATGTCACCGAGAATGAACCAAAGCAACCGACTTCGAATCATTTTCATTTTTTTTTTTAATTTCTTTTTCTCACAAAGCAAACAACCAGAGTCCTGAATCGACGGGAGAAGGAGCAATGTTTTCTTAGCTTGTTTTTGGGCTCAAGTAAGCCCAAATCCCAAAGCTCATTCTATGTAATTTGGCCTCAATTGAAAAGATGAGTTGGTACTAATGACTTTTTTTTTAATTTATTTTGGGCAAAAGAGAAATTTCTCAAGTAGTAAAAGTTTTATAGATCATGATTAAAGGTGTAAATAAGTCATGTCAAGTTGATATAATGAAAAACTTGAGGTTAAATTTAATTTGAAATTTATTGTTTTAAATTTGATTCGAATTTGATTTAATTTTATTTTTTTAATTAAAATAATAAAATATATTAAAATTTAAAATTTTGATTAAAATCATAAATTATTCGAGCTGGATAATAAGATGTTTAAATTTGACTCGTTTGATAAAAAAATTATTCGAGTTTGATTTGATAATAACTTAACTGAATTCGAATTTTATTCAAATTGAATCTAAGTAATTTGTAAATATTTATGTATCACTTATACCCTTATAATAAATAACATTTTTGAAAAATAATCATGATAATGCAATATTTTTATAGTATTTTGAAAAATAATCATAATAATAAATTTTTTTTTTACTTTTCTAAACCTAATAAAAAATAAAATTATTGATAATAAAATAAAAAATAGCTCGATTTCTATGGTAAAAATTTTTAAAAATCCTATTTTGAGCACAAATTGATTTTAATTTTGTTTTTTATATTTTTGAAAAATAAAAGAAAAGAGATAAAAATCTTTTAAAAGGGAATGAGTATAGTAACTTTTGAAGAAATTATAAACATATTTTATATCATGCATAAGAATCATTTTACATCTAATTGAGGTATTGAAAGTGATTATATCTTATGTTGGGTGCAAATTATAGATCATTCAAGTAGAAGTTTTTTTTTTTTTTTTATAAAAGTCACAATCTGTGGATATGTAAAAAGTTTACGGATATTAATACTGAAATTTAAATTTAAAATCGGATGGATTTCACCTATCAATACAATACATACATTTTTCTTACTAATAACAATCTTTAAATTAGTTAATTTTATAAAATTTTTATTTATTAGAAAACACATCCTATGTCGTAATTTTAATTCTTTAAGATAACCATATCTTTTATATATTAAAAAAAACATGATGATACAATATAAACAAGATATGAATACAGAATAAAAAAATAATATGATTTAAAATTTTAATAATTATTATTTATAAATTTAATAAAATAAAAAATTATTTTATATTTTTACGTTCGCACGAATTATAATACGTAATTTTTATATAAAATATGATATAAATATATGAATTTTAATATTTTATACTATATGAACAAATGAATTATCCAATCTATTAGAGAATGAATTGACATGTTGAACATATGCACAACAAGGAGAAGCACTATCAACAATTAGATATGAAAGTTTCAGTGCAAACTTATATGAAATCAAAAATGAAATGATAACATGTAAATAAGAGTTGGGAAACGTTACACGAAAATCATTATTCTAACAAATCTTGGCTGAGAATTGATTAAAATCAACACTTGGACTGACACTGGTGGCAGTGGCCAAATTCAATCTTGCAGGAGAAGCAGTACGAACCAAAGGATTTCCCTTTCTTTGCCACATAATAACCCACTCCCAGCACCAGAACAGCTATCAATATTCCCACCAGGATCCAAACAATGGTTACGGAAGAGACGAAGTCGTCGTCGTCGTCGTCGTCGCCGCCACCGCCACCGCCGTTGTTACCAAACCACCCATTTGAGCCACCAACGTCGGGATATTGACTTGACATATCCTTTCTCCAGGGGGTTCGCTTGCATGATTGTTGTAGAAGAAGAAAAAATGGAAAATAAAGTCGAAGAGTTTTTTTTTTTTTTTTTTTTTTTAATGTAGTTTAGCAGACTAAGGTAGTCAATGCCCTTTTTTTTTAGGAAGGGTAGCATCACCCGCCGGCAATGGACGCGTTGAGTGGATATTGGAGTAAGAGACTTATTGTTAAATATATTTATTTTCTTATTTTTGTTTTTATATATTAAATAATTTTTTTTAACATAAAAAAAATAAAATTTTAGTATAAGTGAAGGGAACACAGAGATTTTGTTCGAAGCAAAGCTATTAAATAATTAATTATTATAACGGATATAATTAATACTATAATAATATAATTAAAATGTAGTAAGACAATAAAATTCAATATAATAATTTATTATTCCATTAAAAATAATTGATTCCAATATATCGAGTTGGATTTTTAAATAGAAATAATTAAAAAAAATTATCACATTTTTAAGATCAAAACAAATCGTTAATTCACAAAAAATTTATAAATTTTTTAAAATTTTTTGAATTTATAAATCACCTAACAATAAAGATTGTAAGAGTTTGAGCTTATGTATTTTACATCTAGATGATAAATTTTAACCATACGAGCTACCCTTGTTAGCTTTTGGATTTCAAATCAATCAAAAAAAATTTGAAGCAAAAGGATTGGAAAGGGCACTGTTGCCAATGCCATAGAATACTTTTAAATTGGCAATTTGTTCAGTTCCCTTCGACAAGATTGCACCATACTCCACGTTCACTAAAGAAGAACTAAGGGATAAAAAAATAAATAAATCCATCGATCAAAACTATGGTCCTTTGGTGATCAGCTACATATTTTTACCTTTGTTATGCTTACAATTTGGAAATAACTAATGCAGGTGTGTGAGGATTATAGGCTGATTGCAGGGACCGAGGATGGCTTAACATTGCAGTTGAAAGAAAGCAAATTGGTTTCAAGTAAATCTGAAAGAAAGGCATGGTTGATTTCTTTTCCCTCTTACCTAATGCACCTTGGCACTCTCAAAACCTTTCACCATTTCACAACTTGATACCAACTATGGTCTTTGAACTTGCCTTTGGGCTAGCTTTCTTTGATTAGATAATTCTCCTCGTGCATTTTCATTATTTACTAAGGATTCATTTGGCAATACGGTGAAAGAGATTTTTATCGTTATAAGAGAAATTCGTATTCAATTTACAAAGTATTATTTATTTTGATAAAAAAATTTTACTGTTTTATCTCACAAAAAATTCTCTTACTTATATATTATAATAAATCTTTGTAATCTCTCAATGTGAGATTGTAGTATCATAAATTCTCTGTTAAAAGTTGACGTTCTTGTAAAACCTAATACAAAGCATATAAATCCACCGAAAACACAAAACATATAGATTCATCAAATCATATCAAATGTTGGATAAATCCAACACAAAACATATATAAATTACACTAGACGTTAGAATTTTAAAGGTGTCTCTCATGATGTAGCACTTAACTTTCGTCAATTAATAATCGCTTTGATATCATTTGTGAAGATCCGTACCTAATCTATGATATATTATCCGTTTTAACTCAAAAATCTCATAATTTTATCGCACAAAAACACATTTACTTATATATTTTAACAGATCATGAAAATCTCTTAATATGGAATTGAGATGTCATATATAAAGATCAAATCAGAAGACAATACTGTGGCATAACGAGAGTTATAAATGAAGTCAGAGTCACGTTGCTAAATGAATCATAAGCAAACCGTCTACTTATAAGTTATAAATGAAGTCAAGAATGAAAACTAAGATGTGAATGACGCCCAACGAGATCAATGCAAGTTTTTGGAGACATTTAGCTGGTTTTCACATGGCTGCACAAGTAAATTTTTTTTTTTTGGTAAGAAAAATCCGAAAGTAGATAGGTACAAAATGTGTCATATTTGATAGTATAAGACAGGTTACTGCAGGTCGAGCATTTGAGATGATCTCAACAAATGATTACCAATAAGACTCGAACCCAAAAACTTTTCGTAAAAAAAAATAAATTTAACCGATTGAACTAATCACTTGTTGATGGCTGCATAAGTAAAATTAAAATAATTCGTGGCCATATCTCATATGTAATGGCTTGTTATTCATGAATAATTTCCAAAGGAAGAGGAGAAAAGCACAAAAAACACAATTAAGGAATTAAAGCCAAGTTCTCAATAATCTAGCACTCTTTACATCAAATCAAACACACAGATTCTTCAGAAATTTAAACTTCACACATAACTAAGAAGACAAAAGGAAAGCCGGCATCTGTTATTCCAAGTTTTTTCTTCAATGTGTAGTTCTTACTCCAATATTAGCTTAATTCTATTCTCGAACATGTCTAGGCCACACCTGCACATTGCGCATCAGATAGTGATTTTGATGGTGCTGTGGCTGGCGAGCTTGTCCAGCTCGCTGCTGTTGAAAACCATGCTGCAATCCACGGTGCAGGCGGGTGCTCTGAGTCAGAACATTCAAGCCTTGTTGGGCAGCCATGGATAGAGCGTTAACTGAAGGTGCATTAATATTTAAGTTGATCGGGGTTCCACCAACTGCAGCACGCATTTGTCTAGCTAGAAAATGTTTATAAAACTGAATCTCCTTTCTGATATCATTATTTTTTGCTGTGAAAAAAAAAAAAAAAAGCATAAGAATATGTTTATACTTCAAGGGGAAAATGTTGCTGGGAGGTTTGGAATGTGCCAACAGTCACGTAATCTGCTGATATGCAAAATACTGAAGTTTTAAGTTCAGTAATAAAAGTTCAAATTTTGACTGTTTCAAATATAAAAAAATATATATATATATATATATTAATTTCTTTTAAAAGAAAACCATCACTTTCGTTTAAAGCATACATTTCAGTCATCACCCTACTCCGATTATATCAATTTCAGCCAAAATTCATAAAACACACTTCAAACAACATCATTGAGCAGCAATACATGAGGGGAATAATAAATTGTAGTGAATATGAGTACATAGAAGAAGATTTAAACAAATCAAAAGGAAAATCCTTACATTCTTGCTTCTCAATCATTTTCTTAGCGACCTTTGCATGATCTTTGAGTTTGGAATTTTCATAAATCAAGGATTTAGTCTCTGTCTGAACATTTTGTATAGACAAAAACACAATATATTATCAAACTGTTATGGTGGAAATCAGATAAACTTTATGTTTGATCATTTACCCCCAATATGGCCAATCGAGCTGATGTCTGAGCAGCTTGAGATTTCAACTTCTTTAACGTATGTTCAAGCGTGAAGGTATACAGCTTCTGCTTCTCCTTGGACCTCTTAGCTGACCTCCGATTTGCCATAATCCTTCACAGATTCAAAATAAATGAGCAAGCATTGGAAAATAATAAACAAAAGTATACAGATACAGTTCATCAATGAGATACATAATAACATTAAAATTCCATTAAAATTCAATACCTTGCTGCCCTCTTAGGATCAGTTTTTGCAATGTTTTCAAGCTCTTGAGGAAGCATGGCTTTCCTGTGTTCAAATGGCTTGCCTACGGAAGCTGATGCCAATTGTGCCGGTGGGGCTGCTGAGACAACTGTTCCTTGAACAGCAATTTGCTCCATGATAACCTTGTCAACCTGTGCTACTGTCACTGATGCAGGATTTGGTGACGGTGTAACCGGAGATTTGGTGGTCCCTGCTAGGGAATCATCAACAGAATCGGTCGTCGGGGATTTGGAAAAGAGGTCTTCCTCGCCATTGTCAACAGTCTGCTCCGTCGCATCCAAAACCACTGTCCCTTCTGCTGAGTCTGAGTCGTCAAGCACCATATGCAAGTTAATTAGTATCATCATGTGATGTGCATTTGGTTTTTATTCTGTTCAATTTTAATAAAATTTCGATTAAATATCATTATTTAAAAAAAAGATTAAATAAAAGTATTTGGGTTTTTTGTGTATTGAACCAAATTATTTATAAACACAAATGAAATTAAAATTTTATTTTATTTATTTAAAATTTTTAATATTGTTTTTTAATTAATATAAAATCTACTTGAAAATTTTAAAAATGTTTAAATTTTAAAAATAAATATAAATCAAAACATAATTAATTAGGCATAATATACAATAATTTTTTTAATTAAAACTCGATCTCACTCAAATTGACTATTTGCTGTTCAAGTTAAATTTTTTTTGGCACATCCCTAATAGAGATTTGAGTGTTGGATGGTTTACCTGGTTGTTCAAATACAGTATCGAACTTCTTCAATGGAGGCTCTGATGATGAAGAGGCAACATTAGGCTGATAATTCTTTAAAGAAAAAAAACCATTTTCTTCTTCTTGGATTGGCTTCTTTCCCTTCTCCATGAGTTTCTAGAATTTTAAATTTCAAACAAGAATATAAATTCTATTAAATTGCAAAAAAAAAAATCAATTAAATTGAAGAGCATAAAGAATGATCATGATCAGATAATAAAAATTAAAAAAAAAAAGCCTAAAGAAAACCTTTTTTTTTTTTTTTCTGAAATTTACTTGTGATATTGCAAATTGGAAAGCAAATGCTTTATGGATGCAATTGTGGTCATATATGTTACATATACAGTCAATTAAGTTGGTGGATTTATATTTTCACAGATAAAAATCATAATTTCTTTTTTCTTTTTAAAGAAAATGTTGCAAATTTTGAGTGTCGACCCACCTTCCTTATTGAGTTATTTCTGTGAATTTTTTTTTGTCCAACTCTTATACAAATACAAGTATTTGAAATTCTTATAAAGTATTATATTAATAATTATTAAAAATAGGTAACATTTTTTTCTTTTTGTAAATTATAATAGTTGGATAAATCGCTATATTTCTATTTATAGCTATATGGATTTTAGTGTATATCCTTTATTTTGATTTTTTTTTTCGAAACCCTTCTTTATATGGAATTGATATCTATAAAATATTTTTAAACTAATTGGTCATAAGATTTTTTTTTTTGTTTGGTTCATTGAACCATAGATAATTTGTGGAATTCCAATTTGGTTGATTTTAATGGATGATAACATGTGTCTTTCCATTTTTATTTCATTAAGATTTTGATTCGGAACTTGATCAAAAAAATATTTAATTTAATAAGGGTTCGTTTGGTAATGTTTTTATTTTTTATTTTTTGTCTTCGTTTTCATTTTATTTTAAATAAAAATATATTTGATAGATTGTTTAAAAAAAATAACTGAAAATAAAGTTTTGGAAATGGTTGAAAACAAAAAAAAAAAAAATGGAGTTTTCAATTTTTTAGAAACAATTTGACACTATTATTACACGTGAACCGTTCGCATAAATTACAGTTAAACCTTTACAATAAAAAATATTGGTATGTATTTTGGAAATTTAAATTGCAAATTTCAAAATACGATTCTAAAGTCACTTGCATTTGTAAAACCAAAATGAAAACAAAAAATTATTTTGAGAATTGTGCGTAATTAATTTTGAATAATAAAATATAATTGTGTTATTATGATTTAAATAACTTGTTAACAAAATTTTATATTATGATTATTAATTACGTAATTAATAATTTTTTTTATTTAATTCAGATTAAATTTGAATATTAAATAAATATATTAAATTTATATTAAATTTTGAATCGAAATGTAAAAAATCAAAAAAGTTAAATCGAACCAAATTATATATTTTTATTAATTTTTTATATGCATATTTTATTTTTATAAAATAAAAATAATTATTTTATATATAAAACTATTTAAATATGCTAAAAATCATATTAAATAATATTAAAATAATTAAATTTAAAAATTAATGAACCAAATCATATTAATAAAATTCAATTTAAATCAAATAATTTTTTTTAAATTTGTAATATTATATATTATTCAAAATAATCAAATCGAATCTAATTCGAAATGTTATTATTTCTAAAGGTATAATATTTATATATTTTTTTATTTTTTTAATGATTTATTATTGTATTGTGTTTTAAATCTTTGTTTGACCTTACAAAAAGTGCCATTACCGATAAAAATAAAATCAATAAAACCACATCATATGTAGTCCTATAATATGCATGGTCTGCAAACTTCAATTATATATTGCTTATCTTCGGGGCACTAAAAACTTATACACGGAGAAAAAGAAAAAAGGGGCAGGGGAAGAAACGGTCACCATGGCTTCATCATCTCATGCACAAAATGTCCTCGGTTACATGCGTTCAAGACATGCCCACCCAATCATGGCATTATCTGTCTGATTCCTTGAAGAAACTTGGGTGTTTTTTTTTTTTTCCTTTTATTCTTTCTTTCATTTCAGTTCCCCAATGGAGTCCTGTGATTATGACTGAAAATGTACAAGAGATTTCAAATCAGGCAACACTATGTCGAATGAGTGAAAAATGTCATTCATCAGATAAAAGAAAAGGACAAAGAAAAAATACAAAAAGAAAACTGATGTGATTGACAAGTTTGATGCGGGAATAATTGATATAAAATTTGAAACACCTGAAGAAAAGACTAAATTAGCGACAAAACAGGGGAGCTTTTTGCCCAGCCAGAAAGCCTACATGTTTGTCAATTTGCCATCAAACCAAACAAAACTAACGCTTATGTGGGGCTTCTTTAATTTGCTGTATAAATTAATAAAATTTTTGGTGAATTATTCGTAAATATATTTAATTTTTATTTATTAATTAATTAAATTTAATAAATAATTTTAAATAATATTTTTATATTTATTTATTAAATGAATCAAATACAATTAAATGTTTATTTGAATCATTTATATTTGTAAATAAGTTTATTTAAAGTTTGTTTAAATTTTATTTATTTATTATTCATTTTTTATTCAATTGTTGTTTGTTTGTTGTTCGTTTATAATAATACTAATAAAATAATATTTTTATCTTTTATTTTAATCTTATTTTAAGATTCAGTTATATTTATTTAAATTTATTTGATTATAATTTATTTATTATTTATAAAAATATTATTTTATATACGTTCGTAAATACATTTGCTTAATGTTCATAAAAAATTAACAAAAAAACTCGTTTAATTTAATTAAACCAAACATGAACCAAATACGAATGTTTGTTATTTAAATGAATCAAACTCAAATATATAGAATAATTTTCTTACCAAACACGAATCAAGCTTTAATACATCTAAAAATAAAATGAACAAACTAAAAATATTAGTTCATCCGTTCATATTTAATTCATTCATAGCCTAATCTTTAACACGTCGGTAATAACTCCATAAAATCAAATTTTCTAATTACAATACGAATTTTGTTAAAAAAAAATTAAAAATTCATATATTAAATTTTCACACTTTTGGGTTAGAAACAAGTATTAATAAATTTTCATATAACATATACTAATGTGCCGCAAAATTGAAGAGAAATTAAAAGCCTCTTAAATATAATATTTATTTTAAAAAATGATCAAATATAATATTATTGAAGTTTTTAAATTTTACAAATAAGATTACCATAATAACACATATCCTTAGAATATATTAGAAAAATAAAATATTATTAGTTAAAAAAGTCAGATATGTTTTAGGTTCTTAATTTTATTTATAAAGTTAAAAATTTTACTGATAATATATTAAATAAAAGTTTTAATTCATTAATTATAATAAGTGTTTATGTTGTTTTATAATTAACATTTTTAACTTTAAAATCATACAGTAATATCTACTTGAACAAAGAAAAATTAATCTACAATTAAACTTAAGTTAGTGTAGTAGCTTATTTTTTTTATATATAGGATATCATGAGGTTTATTTATACTGCAAAATTATAAATTGATTAGTAGGAGACTCCAAATAACACCGTTGGCATTTTTTTTTTCTTATTAATAAGGCGGACTTTGCAAAATAAAGCATAAAATAATAAAATTTAGTTGAATAATATCCAAATAAATCTTTAAATTTTATTAAAAAATATAATCATCCCTCAATCTGTTGAGTTATTGTATGAAATTAAGATTATGAAATTTATTTCATTATAATTATACTTCATTAAATCTTGAAAATAAATTAATAAAGTCTAATTACCATAAAAATAATATTTCTGAAAAAAAAAATCATAAGGAGAATTAATAATTATTTTGGTATAAGATGATTCGATCCTCTCAAAGTGGAGAGGATTATTTTTAATCAATGAGATTAAAATTACACTTCTTATTATACCATTAAAAATTATATCAATAATTTAAATTATATAAACTTTGAAGAATGATAATTTTGATCAATAAATAAATTATTATATCTTAATATTTACATACAACGAACATAAGATAAGATGAAATTATTTAATTTAATCATGCTCATAATATTATCTTATTATATCTTATTATAATTTTGTAGACCAATCACATTCTAAATATTTGTCATATGGTTTTATCCAAATAAATCTAAATAAGTATTTTTTATAAATTAATCACCCAACTAAGAAGATTTTAACAAATATTTAATATTTAATAACATCAAGATTTTGATTATAACAAAATAAAAATTTATAATTTAATAAAATGAAAAATTGATGACTTATTTTTATTTTTTATTCAAGTTTTAAGACTTATTTAAATATTATCTCAAATATAAAAATGTCTAAAATATATCTACAAAGAGAGGTGAAAGGTGAGTAAATATTTTGATGTGAGGAAAAAGAGGGCAGATTAGATCGCGAAAATTAAAAGTACATCATAATTTATAAAAAAAAAAAAAATGATTCCAAAAATATATAAAAGAAGAAAAAAAATTTCCAAAGTGATAATATTTAGAACTATAATGTTAGCCATTTAGGCTATATTTTATCTACAATTGCAAATTTTATTAGTAAATTATTATGATTATTGTTGTTCTTATTAATTTATAATCATATTTAAGTGAATATTTTATCTCAATGATGAAATTAAAGTGTTATTAAAGGGTATAAATTAAAAATTATTTATAAATATTTAAAAACTTTAAAAATATATAAAGTATTATTTTTGAAAATTTGGAATTTCGGTTGATAATTATTTTATCAAGATTAACCGATGATTGAGTTTTGCGATCGGGGATAAAATCGCAAACATTTAAATCTTTCATGGGTTTGTACAGAAATACAAATATTTTCAAAGTTCTTACAGCTAAAAAAGCATTTAATAAAAAAAATGCAAAACACAAACGAAAAACTGGTACGGAAATCGGGTCAGGGAAACAAAGAGCAGTGAGTGGGAAGACGAAGAGAAGGAGAAAGCAAAAGAAAAAAAAAGGACAAAACGCAAATTCTTGTCTCCCTCCGTTTCTCACCCCCCCTTTTTTTTTTTTTCAAATTAAAAAATAAGCAAAAATTAATTTCTCTATATTTTTGCTCATAATTATTTGACAATTGAGTCCTCGCCCTCCATTTTTTTTTTCCTTCTTGTTAGTTTCCTTTTATGTCTCCTCATATCTAAACTTTCTCAGAAATTTAGGGGCGAAATCGACTAAGCAAATCAGCGGCGAAATTAGAAAAAACCACCGGTCTGGTACAAAGAATCCCAATTGAAATGGATGATTTTCCAGGTTTATTAGCCAAAGATTTTGGGATCAAATCCCAAGGCAAGTCGGCCCCGATGGCACCCCCTAGAAACCCTTCTTCGGGTCCGAATTACGGGTTCCGATCCGATTTTACCCGATCTTCATCCGGCAATGCCAAATCATCATCCAATTCCATTTTCGACGATCAGGATCGTGACGGACTCATGTTTAACGACTTCCACAGTGGACCTCCCAAATACTCCTCCGAGTCTCGGGCCACAACCGCGCAAACATCGTCGTTCGATTACGATTCCTTTTTCAAGGACTCGAAGCCACCGGTTTTTGACAAGCCTGTTTACGATGACGATATTTTCGATGGATTGCCTGGGATCAAGAGCTCTTCCGCGGCATCGGCCTCTAAGTACGATGACGTTTTTACGATCTCGGGGTCTCCGCCTCATCCGAAGCATAAGTCGCTGAACAGCTCACCTTTTGATGATCTGCTTGGGAATCTAGGGAGGAAAGAGGTCGAGACGAAGACGAAGAGTGAGAGAGTGAGAGTGGAGGAAGATGCACCTCTTTTTGATGATTTATTTCCTGGTTTCGGTCGGAGTAGCTCTCCTGCAACTGCCAGGTATTGTATGCGCATTGCTTTGCGGACACTTAAATTTATGTATTGGTGCTGGCTTTTCATGTTAAAGAGTGATATATGATATTTTGCGTAAATGCTTAAACATGCAATCTAGACTGCGGTTTTTAAGATTTAGTTGTAGTTTTGGCTGCTTATGTTTCATCATTTATCATAAAAATGGGGAATGTATTCAATGAAATGAGTATATTTGAATTACAGGTTTTTGTAGGTGAATGTGATTGAGATTAGTTCTTGTTTTCTGTAAAACTTTAATTAAGTTTATGTTTTACTGGTTTTGTGTGTTCTAAATATTGATAAGTTAATCGTTTGTCCAAAAATGTTTTGGCATTTTCAGGTAAGCGACTAAAGAAGGATATTTACTAGCAAAAATGGACTTGACGACATGTAGATTCTAGACCTATTTATCAATTAGTGGTTCTTTATTGTCTGGTTTCTCAACTGCACAGCCTTAGCTTTTTACATGATATATTTAGTTCAATCCAAGCAACATTCTATTGCAGTTATCAACACTATGAATGATCTGAGCTGAATGTTGATCTCATGGAGGTTGCTGCTCTGTAAAATGTTGATATATTGTAATATGTGGATTTTTCTTTTTCCCACTGCGGAAGATATTCACATTGATTCATTTGACCATTTGAGGGAGCTTCTCATTTGGAGCAGCAAACACCATAGAAATCTACATTTAGGATTAGGAGGGCTAGCCTAAGACCCGTATTTTGGGAATTTTAATTACAATATACTGCACATGCATATGGAATTGGATACATTGAGCATATCTCTCTCGGCCACCCTATCCCTATCCCTACCCCCCCCCCCCCCCCAACAAAAAAAAGGAAGAAAATGAGTTCTTGAGTAGTTGTGTGGTGGAATATTAGTATATGGTTTTGACTGCTTAAAGTTGTACTTTTCTTGCTGGATGTTTAGTTGCCAAATGAGAAGTTTACGGTTGTCTTCAACTCCTTTGTGAGAGTTTATACTCATTTTGTACCTTTGACATAGTCTCAAAGTTGGTAATTAACATATAAAAGTCACCAAGCCATAGCTTCTCCAGATGACTCAGTTTCGATGTTTACTAATACCAAATTAGTTGTATTCTTACTTTTGTGGTGTATGATAACTAATCAGATTTAAGGAGTTTTGAAGTAGCTTGAGTTTATACCAAGTGTGTGTCAAACCAGGCTCACTATTGCATGGATTTGATTTCTTAGGAGAGTTATCACATGAATAAAGATTTAGCATTATAAATTCTCTTTTGGTCATCTACTGCCTCTGTTATCTCTTTTGTCAGTTGAGGAATGCTTGTCATCCTCTGTTTATTTCTATTTCTCATTTAAGGTGGCAAATTTTTTAGATTAAATTGGATTGGACAGGTATCATTCTGTTGGTTATCCAATGTTGTTGGAATTAAGTTAGGATGATAGGTACTGTTAGAAACTTTAAGATTTTCTTATGAAGTAAGATAAACTTTTTTGAGTTTAGAAGTCATTTGATGGTTAGAAATATGGATGGGGCTTTTACCATAAACTTTGGTAAATGTCATTATTTCAATGTTATCATACACAGTGTTTTTACTTTGTAAAAATTTTATCTGTAGCCAGACATGACAGACGTAAATAGACCAAACATATAAAAACTTATTGTTGTTATAATTGTGATTCTGTTTAATAAGAAACTCTTGGTGCACATTACTTCTAACTTAAGTGTGATGAAAGGGTACTAAAAGGACTACATATGTTTATGGTGCATTTGTTTGAAGCTTGAGATAATGTATCTTCCTTTTCAGTTCTATATTTGTCCTATGCAGTCTTATTTGTCTCTTGTTCTTATAATTCTTAGCTATACCATGCAAATATGAGCTGATATCATGCTCCATCTATGGACAGGTCAACTTCAGAGGCTGGCCAGTCTCAGAAACCAGCTTCAAAATCAAGCAAAACTGGCTTAAATTTGATGAAGGACCCTTTTGTTGTCTTTGAATCAACATCCGAGCCGGCGGATTCAACCTCAGGGTTGTTTCCAGGCCCCCTGGAAGAAATAAGTAAACTTAATGGATCTGGGAATTCAAGAGTGGAAAGTTCATCTGGAAGTGGGGGAGTATTTGATGATATAGATCCTCTTGATGGTCTTGGAAAATCTGCACCTTCTGTGTCATTTGAGATCAATAAAAGAGGGAAGGATAGGAGCCCTTTAAGAAGTGCAAATGGACTACAAATTCCTGCCAATAAAGAGCCAAATGATGAAGACCAGGAGCACTATACAAAGAAGAGGATGCCTTCTATGGACAATTTTCAGGAATCTCATCAATCTGTGTTTGACATGCCCAGTATGTCAACTGATTTTCATAGCTCTGTTGGCCGAACTACCAGCCCGCCTCCTTACTCAAATGTTGGTTATAATGAGACTAGTTCCCAGGTAAATACAACTCCAAGATCTGAGAACTGTGACACATTTGATAATGTGTGGCTCACCGTATCAGAGATTCCTCTTTTTACCCAACCTACCAGTGCTCCACCCCCTTCAAGACCCCCGCCTCCAAGACCACCACGAGTTTCAAAGTTAGTGACAGGCTCATTTTCTTCCACAAGTGCAAAAAAGAAGGTTGATGAATTTTCTTCCTTCCCAAATTCAACTCAGTACTCACACAGCTCTCAGTCAGCTCATGCTGCAGCAAGCAGCTCTGTTACATCCCAAATTGATGAACTTGAAGATTTTGCAATGGGTAGGGCGTGGAATAATGTCGAACAGGCCAAAGTTTTTCCTGGTGATGATTTTGAGACCAACACAGTTGCTGCTGCATCTGCTGCTGCCATGAAAGAAGCAATGGATAGAGCAGAGGCTAAATTTAGGCATGCTAAGGAAATGAGGGAGAGAGAGAATTTGAAGGCTGCTAGAAATAAAGAAGCTGGTCAAATGGATAAAGATGAGAGAGCTATGCAAGATGCTTTGGATAGAGAAGTTAGAGAAAAGCAAGAGAGACTGGAGCGTGAGAGGCAACAAAGGGAAATGGAGGAGGAAGAGAAAGAGCAAAGGAGACGTGAATTGGAGAGGGAAAGGGAGGAGAAGGAGAGAGAACAAAGAAGACTTGAGAAAGAGAGGGAGCGAGCTAGGGAGATGGAGAGGGAAAGGGAGAGGGCCAGACAAGCTGTTGAAAGGGCTACTAGAGAAGCACGTGAAAGAGCTGCTGCTGAAGCTCGTGCTAGAGCTGAAAGGGCTGCAGTGCTGAGAGTACAAGCAGAAGCTCGTGAAAGGGCAGCAGCTGAGGCAAGAGAAAGAGCAGAAAGAGCTGCTGCAGAAGCGAGAGAAAGGGAAGCACGGGAGAGGACTGCAACAGCAAAAGTTGAAGCTGGAGCCAGGCTTAGAGCAGAAAGAGCTACTGTGGAGAGGGCTGCTGCAGAGGCTCGAGAAAGAGCTGCTGCTCCTGCAAGGGCAAGCCAGCAAAGGAATGACAATGATAGTGAATCCTTTTTTAATATGGGTTCTCGACCCAGCAGTGTACCAAGACCAAGAGCTAACTCTTCGGTAAGAATCTACGGAGTTTATACTGTATTCATCTTCTGATTTACGCTGTGGTATTGCACTGTCTGGTTTCTAACCTGAAATTTTGCTTTTGCAGGATCCCCTGTTTAATGGACAAAACAAGGGAGGGCCTGAAGTAGCTAGAACATCTGTTGGAGCCTCATCTAGCATGAGGAAAGCTTCTTCAACTGCAAATATTGTTGATGATCTCAGTTCTATTTTTGGAGGTACTTGCAAATTTGAGGTGTAATGATCTTTGTAAATTTGTAATATCATATTTGTTCTTCTCCATGGTTGATAACTGACTAAACTACTTTGCTTGCTAAAGCTGCTGCATCATCATCTGGAGAGTTCCAAGATATTGAAGGGGAAACTGAAGAAAGGCGAAGAGCCAGGTTGGAGCGCCTCCAAAGAACTCAGGAGCGTGCAGTATGTGTTCTTTGTTACATAATTTCATTTATCTTTGCTCTTCTGTCCTGTTATAAACTGCTTGCTAGCCCTGGTTTACTATTGAGTTTGCATATCCAGGCAAAGGCATTGGCTGAGAAAAATCAACGTGACCTTCAAGTGCAAAGGGAACAAGCTGAGAGACATGTAAGTGGATTCAGTGAATATCCTTTTTCTTGTTATTATTGTTCATTCTATTCTTTTTCCTCGTCTTTTTGTTTTCTTAAGTGGGTTTTTTATTTGAGTTTATTTTTCGAAGGGATCCAACCATAAAGGAATTTTGCGCTGGCCCCAACCTTCATATCATACACTTTGCACAATGGCATTGCATTTTATGAGTTGCAAGTGTTGTTTGGGTCTGAGGTTGCTTTTGTTTTTTCTTCACTTCTTCTTTAGTCTTCCTTCAGTTAGAGTCAAGGTTAACTTGTAAAGTTGACTCTAGGATAGTTTACGTATTCACTTAATGTTGAGACTAATGTATAAAGGAAATGAGTGGCTTTGATTTATGGATAAAACTTATACGAGAAAAACAGATAACTGGGTATTTAGTCCTATAATATAATTTTGTTTAGACTTCCAACACTATATGACAAGTTAAAACTTGGCCGTTACTTTTTGTCTCAATTTTGTAACCCCAGTTTCACCAGTGCGATGAGTTAGGACTGGGGAATTAATGTTGAATATGAACCTAAAATTTTATTAACCTGCCCAACTAGCCTTGCACTGCTAATTTGGATTTGGTTGGCTTAAGTAATTGAATGTATGATGGCACATAATGCCTTGAAAGAAATAGTTACTGTAATGAAAGCATTATGCTGTGTTAGAATATGTCTGGAAATTTGTGTGTTACTACTGTACATGTATACATCTGCAAAAGTTTTTCTTTTAATTATTGTTTGTCTAATATTGATCTATGGTATTATTTCAGAGAATCGCTGAAACTCTAGATGTTGAGATCAAGAGATGGGCTGCTGGGAAAGAGGGAAATTTGCGTGCTCTGCTGTCAACACTGCAATATGTGTGTTATTACTTATTAGTACCATTCATCTTGTTTGTTCTACGTTGCATGGTTCTCATTTCATTGCCTCAATTCCACCTTCTGATATTCTACTTTTTTGAGATCTTTTGTACATGTGGTAGATGACTTTAAGGCAAATTATGAGATATGTTGTTGGAGGAAGACTGACTGAGATAAATTCTAACACAAAAAACACCACCTTTTTGAACTCTATGCTTTTCCTGAGAACGTCCTATTTAAGTTGCCAAAATCTTTATGTACACTGTACTGCTCTTTTGTCTGATGGATATACCATACATGTGATGGGGATTTTAAGTATAACTCAAAATTGAAAGGAAAAGGTTGGACTGACAATTTCAGGTGTCCAGCTGCAATTTTGTTATCTTTAGACTGTCCGATTTAGCAGACTTTTAGAATTAAGGATACAAAAGCAGTTGAGTATGTCTTCAAAGCTTCTTCCCTTACATGATGTTTACCATCTGCCTCTTGCAGTTTTGTTCTTCCAGTTAAGGAACTATCCATGTGGCAGGCATGCCATTAACTTTTGAGTGTTAAAGTTCCTTGAACCACTTTAATGTTTAGTTAGAAGGAAATAAAGGGGAAAGGAAAGAAAAAGTTATAATGTAATGGTTGAGCTAATTAACATGTGCTACTTTGTAGCTTAACCATTACATCATAACTTTTTCTTTCCTTTCCCCTTTCTACTAAATGGAGTAAATCGATTCAGAGTAAGCGGGATCTAATACACAATCTTGTAGAATATATGGACAGCTGTTGCAAAATTATCTTTAGTGCTGCCGACATTTTAGTTTAATTTTGTTATGCTAGAAATAGGATAAACAACTTTTTAAACCTTTCATAATGCATTTCATAGTCTTTTCAGCTAGTAATGCAGACTATAGCATTAATAGTATTTAAAAAGGGAATGCAGATTCCAACATACCTTCTATAACTCTTTCCTTTTCTGCCCATCTTGCAAGCACTTGCATCACAACAAGTGCTTGCACGTGCAAATACTTATTTGAGTATACTAATGGTGCTTCAAAAAAGTTGAACTGCTTGAGAATGAGCTTTACTGTGCCTGCATGTACTTACTTATGCCAACATTCATCTGAAGGTTTAAAATTTTTTATGATGAGCAGCACAGCACTGCTGTAATTTTGAAGACATGTATTACAAGAGATTTTTTGAAAGTGGATGACAAACTGTTTCTGTCCATCATTTTGTTTATTCGAATGTCTTATAGTACAAATTTCATGAAAATGTGATTTTATTACTGTTTTAACTAATTTGACTCCTGAACCTGTTCGTGATGATTAGGTTCTTTGGCCTGAATGTGGTTGGCAGCCTGTTTCTTTGACGGAATTGATTACAGCTGCAGCTGTTAAAAAGGCTTACAGAAAGGCAACTCTTTGCATCCATCCAGATAAAGTCCAGCAAAAAGGTGCCAATCTTCAACAGAAATATATTGCAGAGAAGGTGTTTGACTTGCTCAAGGTACTTCATAAATGTTTTGACTGAAGGATTTTATCATTGGTGTGCTATTTAACTATTAGAGCCTCAATTATACTAACTGCCAGTTTTATTTGTCACATTTGCTTTGATTAGAAATTGTGCTCGTATAATAACATCTCATATGAGTGGTCCATTTCTTTCCATATTGTTTTCTTTCTCACACAATTTTGTTCATTTCTATGTTAAATAGGAAGCCTGGAACAAGCTCAATTCAGAGGAGCTTTTCTGAGTTTCGATTCGTTGACTATGTAGCCAAAAAATTCATCATTTGGCAAACTATGCCTTGGAGTTGAATGCGTGACTGTTTCTGCAGCCGCAATTCTCATATCTGCTGCTGTTGTCTGCTTTGGTTTGCTGATTCATTACATCAGCTGTTAAAGCATGGCATATGAGTGCTGCTTCAAAGGCTCATAAGGTACGTGAAGATTGAAGTACTCTTCTTTTGTTCAGGTTGCTGTACTTTAATCTTAATCCTGCCTATGCACGTGGAAAGTTGGAATCTCTGTGTTGGTGTAGATTATAATTCATTGAATTGGTAAGTTCTATCATCCACCCCATATGCATGAGATGAGGGGATTTTTGCATTAATTCTTTCAGAATATATGTATATTTTTTCTTTTCCCCACCTTTAGTGGCAATAGAGCTTTGATATGTTGAGTGAATTCCAATATGTTCTATCGATATCAAAACAATAGTATGATTGTTTAGATGGTTTCTCCGAGTTGGATCATTCATATATATCATCATTTTTTTCAATAATGCGTACTATGGTACTGTTGCCCCTTTTAAAGAAGTTTTATATATTTATTTTTTATCCCCTATAGAAGTGTTATTTTGCTTTTATTATAAGAATTTTCGAATGTGACCAGAATTTTAAGTGCTGTCATGTAGTGTAGATTAGCTAAATCCATCAGCGAAATTTCTATCTAGTATCGAGGATTATTCCACCTAGAGCCGGTCTGGATTGCTGGGGTTTGAGCCACTGGCCATCTTGTGGTTCACTCATAGGCTACCTGGGAGGTCCCATAGTTCTTTACATCTATTCTAAGGCAATTGTCACGGGCAGGACTTCAGCTACAGGTTTGTACGGCGTCTGGGCCTGAGAACGGACACAACAGAACCTAAGTAATACAAGTCTTACTCTTGCCTTCTATCTCATTCTCTCTAGCCTTTCCTTAAGCACCTGGTGTGCAGGGTTGTTAGCAGCAGCTTTGATGACTAGTCTTGGAGTATTGAGTGCCTGAGCACTAAGCCAAATGGTAGGCTGATTTTGGACGCTGGATGAGTTCATTCTTGGATCCAAGAGCCACGCAAACTTAGAGTTTAAGTCTCATCTTGTGACACAAGGATCAGGGAACCCAATAACACCACTAATCAGGAACCTAAATCTTATATTCACAGTTCAAGTTAACCCCGATAAGCAGCAAAGCGGGAGCTTTTGCCATAACCCATGTCCAAAAGCAATAAAGATGTGGGCATTTTGGAACCCAAGGTAATTACAAGCACCAAAATTTTTATATAGATTATAACTGCAATAGAGTTAAATATTAAAAACTAGAAAAATAAAAGAGGTGGATTTGAATGAAAACAGAGAACCCTGTGATCATTGATCAAGAGATTGGGCACCAGGAAACTGCATTTTCAAAAGCAAACGAAGTCAGGTCTTCTCTCAACTACATTTTTTTTTATATTTATTTTGAACTGAAACCAAGAGTCACTCAACTACATTTCATACGCAACTTAAACAATATATTCATCAATTTTCAACTAAATAATTTCCGTAAGTATTCAGAACATAAGAGCAAAAGATAAATGGAATAAACCAGAAACCTGAGCATAAAATACATAATTGAAAACCCATAATTATTTGTTAGAAAGTGAGACCGAATGTAGAACTGGGATGGGTGTTAAGGGAAGGTCGTTTGATTTTTGGGCATTTATCTTCCAGTTTTGGGCCCATGTTTTTAAGCTACATTAAAGAGGGTCAAGGAGAATTGAAAAGGCTACATAAATTTAGGGAATGGGCCTAAGTTAATCCTTACGGCCCAACTTGTCTTCCATTTTCTGTTCCTCCGGGTAGGATTTTGGAATGACTGCGTCGGCGTGGGCTGAACAAGTCACAGAGCCAGAAAAAAGAGAAGAAAATGATAAAACCCAAAACCGTACTGGCATTTTTAAAAATCTCTGGCACTGTTTCTGCTCTTAACTCAACCCTCCCTATTTCTTAGTCTTCATTCATCTCTCTCTATCTCATTTCCTGCCTCCAAGTAAGTGTTTCCTTTTTCTTCTTCTTCTTCTTCATCATCATCACTAACTTAACCGCCGCTTTATGCATGTAATTTTATGTTTATTATCTGCAATTCAAGTGGTTAACCCAGTTGTGCTTTTGCACTTAACTGTTTTCTCTTCTATCTGTGATTTTTTAAGAGACACTCAAATCCTGGGGAGTTTCTTTGCTCGGAACAAGGAATGGGAAGCTTATTTGTTTCCAGCGAAATGGGTGCCTTTTTTTTTTTCTTCATTTTTCTAATGATGATGGTATCTATTAACAATCTTCCATTTGTCCTTTTACATGATTTTTTTATTATGATCATACTCAATACCTGCCACGGCTGATGGAATCCTTTAAGTCTTTTGGGTGGTGTATTTTGGTCTTATTTTTTCTGTTCTTGATCGGTTGTTCTTTGTTTGTTTGGAATTCGCAGTATGTTTAATATGGCTCGAGTTTTCTGCTTTTCGGAATTTGAATTAAGTTAGAGTAATCAATTTGAAGGCTACGAAAATGAAGAGGAAATCGTCACTTCAACTTCAAGCTCTTCGGAGCTTCTATAAAGGTGTGTATGGCTCTGGATATTTTCTCTTTTAGTATTAAAGATTTTTTTAGAAAAGAATTTGAGACTTAGTTAAGTTTTTCAATCTACTTTGTTAAGATTATTTCATAAAATATTTTGAAATTTAAGCTAAAACCTTCTTCTGAAGTGGGTGTCAGACATGGCTTTGATAGTTATTAATTTTTGCCATGAATCCAGCTGACTGATGTGATTGCTGTCTGACCCTTTGTTTTTATTTCTTATTTGTGTTATCATGTGAAGCAGATGAGAAATATTCTATGCAAAGGGAGATGGAAGGCAATGCTGTAGCTTTAGGATTAACTTTGAAGCAGGTTAAGGGATGGTTTGTTGAGAAGAGGAGAGGGGATAAAAGGGATAATGGAATTATATTGCCAATCCATTCCATGAATAAACTCCCTGCTCCTATATCAAGGAACGCTGCTAGCATTTCTTCTGCTAGAAAGAATCCTAAAGGACCGGATCTTTTGGATCATAATAGGTCAAAGAGTGTTGCTGCACTATATTGAAGATATAGAAGCACATCCTTGGTTAGTGAAGACAGGTTTGGCAAGAAAAAGAAGAAAATGCTTCTTCCTCTGGATTTGTTATCTTCACAGTACATTCTGAGGAAGCTATTTTACAAGGATGGTTCTCCACTTGGTGTGGAATTTGACTCTCTTCCTTCTCAGGCCTTTTGCCACTGTGAAGGTATACCACTGGAAGCTTGTAGCCTTGTTGCCTTGGTGGATATTTGGTGCTATTTAATGTGGTGACTGGTGATTATTCCTTTGATACCTTAATTTTGTGGTTTTGCTACAAAATGAAAATTAATGCTGGAAGCCTCTTTTTGTTTCTAGGGCTCATCAATTGAGCTTGTCAAGGATGCTATTTTCCTAAGATGTAAAAAATAATTTTCCTTGTTAAATTTTGTACCTTTTATCACCATTTACCAATTACTGGTGAAATACAGCCTAACTAGTGAATGTTTGAAATTTATTCTTTCTTATTGTTTCTGTTTATTCATAATCTATATAGCTCAAGGAAGTGTCAAGCATTTGTTTTTGTCACTCCATAAACATTTCCACTTCAATAAAATGTTAGATATGTGTCTGAAAATGGTAATTGACGAAAAATGAAGGGTTGAATGACCTAGTTTGTTTTGTTTGATTTTTTTTTCTTTATCCAGTATTTATGCCTGTTCACACTGTATTTCGATACAAATAAACTTACTCATACTATATTTAGGTTCTAAAGTTGCTCATACTGCTGATAAAGAGTGCCAAAGAGGAGCAACCAAAAGGAGAAAGGTATCAAGAATGTTTTCAAGATGTTCACTTTCAGCTCCTATCTCTTCTGTTTCCTTACTTTATTTTTTGCTTCTTGAATTTAAGGCTTCTGAGCTTACCAACATAGACTATCAGAACCATAGTAAAGAGAGTGCCCCAGTGAAGAAACATGGTATTGGAAAAGGTTTGATGACAATTTGGAGGGTTGTGAACCCTGAGGGTGGAGATATTCCTACTGGTGTTGATTTTTCTAATCGACAAATTGTTGTTCCTCAAACATCTAGTCCTGCAGTGAGAAAGCGGCCACCTTGGAACAGAAGACGGCAGCAATTAGTATCTCTAATGGTTAGTTATCAATTTTTTCTCTCACAATATTTTGTGTTAACATCTTTTTTTACTCTTCCTAGAAAACCTTTCTTTTTTTAATCTTCCTAGAAAACTGTTCTTTTTTTAATCTTCCCTGAAAACCCACAGGTTCTGCTTGTTGGTTGATCATTTCCTAGATTTATCTTAATGGTTTTATGTGCAAAACTTACTGTAACTTGTCATTCTAGAAACAGAGAAGGTTGGAAAAGAAGTTACAGGAAAAGAGGAGGTTCTCCATTAAAAGGAGAGAGGTACTTATGGTTTTTTCTATAATATTTTTGCATTTTAGCTTTACTTCTGTATGACTGCGGTATTAATGTTCACTTGCCTGTTTTATGCCAGGTGCAATCTAACAAAGATGGTAATCATAGGCAACCACGCAAAGAAAAATGTGAACTTGCTTTGGCAGGAAGTATACCAAATGAATGTCTTGATCAACTTGCGATGCTAGTTGATGATGAAGAGTTGGAGTTGAGGGAGTTACAAGCGAGACCAAATCCCCATTGACGTTCTCGGATCATCTTGGTACCAGTGGAGTGCTCGGTTGCTCCCTCTGCATAGGTTGGTTTAGTAGTTCATGATATATATTTAAGAATATCTGAGCAAGTTTTTCTGTCTTATTTCTAGCATATATCATGTCCATATGTAAGCTATATTTTTGGTGTTCTAAAAGGAATTTGTTTATGCTTTCCCAGATTTGCTGGCCAAGTTAGCAGAGTTTTCAGTTGATAATAATGAGAAACTATATTTTTTTAATTTATATTAAAAAAAAAATGTTGATAGTATGCGTTTGTGAATACATAATTTGTCAATATTAATCAAACATCACATATATAAATTGATATAGTTACGGAATTAAAATTTAAATTACTATAACGACAAATTAAGCTTTATATCTACATCTAATAATCTAAAACATGACATGATGATACAATATGAACGTGATGTGAAATAGGTCATAAAGAACACGATACGAAAATAAGATATGAAAATAATACTATTTAAAATTTTAGTAATAACTATATATGAATTAAATAAAATTAAAAAAATGTATTTCATATTTTAGTGCTAATATGAATTATGACGCGTAATTTTCGTATAAAATACGATATGAATATATGAATTTTAATATTTTATATAATTTAGATATACGAATTGTCAAGTTTACTTATATCTCATATTTTGGGGTTGAGGTTGATTGAATGAAAAAAAAAATAAAAATAAAAAATCATGCTAAGTCGTAATTTTGAATTTTTTTATGTCATTTATTTTTATCAACATTAAAATTTAAATTAATATGATATATAATTAAAAATTAAAAATATAAATTATACAATTTATTTTTTTTAGATATAAGTTTGTATATTCTTTCCAAGTTCAGTTACCAAATGCCTAATTAATTCTTTTAAACAAAAAAATGATTTTGTTTCCCATTTTCTCCTTGTTTCTCCGAAAAGCAAAGGGTATAGAGCCAAAAAACTATTGCAATTTTTCCTTTTTATCTTTGTTTGGACCACTAATTTGCTCCTATTTTTTTTTTCACCCGTCACAATATGAAAATAAATATCTATTTTTCAGAGAGAAGAAAAATTTAAGAAACCAGTGGCATGTATTCTCCTAAACTTCTTGTGGATCAGGAAACTCTCTTCTATTCAGTTTTGTTCTTCTTTTATTGCATGCTCATCAATCTTTCTGCCTCTGGCTCAAATTAAAATAAAAACAAATGCACAAAGAAACTCAACAAGGCAAAAAATACCCAAAATTGTTTGATGACTGAACAAAAAGTAGCAAAAGAACAAAATTTGAGATAGCTAGAGCTTCATCCAGTTCCATTGGTATCAAAATGGCAAGAGCAATTGGGTTCTCAAGCTTTCCATCTTCTTCATATCTTAGTTGGAACTCCAGAGCCACCTCTCCTTCATTCTCCTGCACACTGTCAATGGTCAGTTTATTAGTATATGCTGCAATTTTTTATGATTTAATTGGATCAACTGTTTGAACTAGTCTATGAGCACTGGCCTATCCTCTTCAAGAAACAGCAGTTCTGCACTGAAAGCAATGGAAATTGTACTCTGAATCTTGGGTAGATATTGTTTGTTTTAAAACTTTTAATTGTAACTTCAGAGTTCGAAATACTAGGGAGCTTGTGCCATGTTTGTGTTTTCTCTTGAACAGAATGGTCATGAGATAACCTCATGTTTCTAATATGTGCTGAATCATTCATTGGTCTGAAACCGTGCAGCAAATGGTCAGTAAATCACTTGTTTCTCGTGCATGTGTCACCTGTTCAGCTGTACAAGAATCGTCTAGTCCTACAGGTAGGTTTCTTCATTCTTTTCCGTGTGTTAAAATCCTTTTCTCCAGAAGCAAAGCTCATCTTCTGAACATCCGAGTCGCTAAAAATGTGATTCTTTGCTATTAGCCACTGCTGAAACAAAGGCAACCACTCCTGCTGAAGCAAAACCATCAGCCGCTGCCGAAACAAAGGCCGCAGCTGCTGGTGGGAAAGAGGAAGTGAAGGCAGCCCCAAAAGCAGCTCCAGCAAGGCCCAAACCCGCAGCAAAGGCTCCTGCCAAACCACTGCCAGAGTTGATGGTGGAGGATGTTATCCCTTCTTTGAAAACAATACTTGAAGCTCAAGATGATCTATCTGCAATTGAGCTCTCTTTCCAAGACAACAAGGTTTCTGCTCTATTTTCTGACTAATCCATTAAAAAAAAAAAAAAAACAATGGCATTTGCTCCAGCTGACGGTTTATGAAACTTCCCAATCAAACTTGACAGTTGGAAGGTTCATTCCTGAAGAAGGGCTGTCCCTACTCGTTCTGGGCCTTCTTCCCTAGTGGAGTCCTCACGGGTATTTGAACTTCAGCTATTCGAAACAAGTATCAGGTCCATTGCCCATAAATGATCAACATTTTTCTCCATTTGCACAGGGCCAAAAGGTTTTTCGTTGTCTTCATATGGCTCAGGAGCAAGCACAGTCGAGCCCTTCCTCGTTGATGAGAAGAAAATTACAGCAAAGCATTTAGTCTTCTGGGTTGAAAAGCGTTTGGCAGCCCAAGGAATTATTCCTGTCTGGAAAGAATGATCTGTAGCATAAAAGCATGCTATGTAATTATTCATGCCCGAAAACAATTGCTCACATACGAAAATTTCCAATTCATTTAACATGAAGATACTACCAAACCGAATGTATCATTTTTGTTATGTAATTAAAATAGAGGATTCTGTTCGATGTTAATCGAGGAGAATGTTAAGAACACGGGTTAGCATCCTCAGCTTTACTAGCAAAATAGCTCAAATTTATTAAGAGGGGTTTGCTTTTATATAAAACTAACACAACTCAAAATTAAAATTTAACTTTTTTGATTCATTCAATAATAAACTAAATATGAAGATTAATTTAATTAACTTATGCATTATAAAAATGACATCTAATAGATTTAAAATATAAATTTCAATACTTTTTTATTCTTAAATCATGATTTTTTTATTAAAAAAAAAATTCCAATCACTTATGGCAACACCCTCCCCGCCCTTCTCCTTTCTCGTAAAAAGAAGGTGAAAACAATTGAAACATTGCATAGCTAACGGATCTTATAAAGTTTTCATCTAAATGACATGTCTAATGACCATGGCCATAGGCAAATAAATGCTTGTATCATGTGGCTATTACTTTCTTCTTATAAAATCAATCTATGGAGATGTACAATACTAATCGGTAACTTTACTTTTTTTATTTGATATAAAATTAATATATTCTGTTTACTTATACCTTTGACATAATATTTTTACTTATTTAATATCATGACGCTCTTGTCACAACTGTCATTCTGCTTATTCCTTTTAAAGTATTTGATTTTTTATCATCATGTCATGCATCGACACCTTATTAAGTGATCAGTTATCATATTTTATCTCAACACCTTATTAAGTAGCTAAATTAATTTACATTATCTACTCTCTTAAACTAAAACGTTTATCATGAAATTAGATGAGTAAAAAATTTACTCTTATATCACTTATTTTATACCATTACTTTCTCTTAACAAAATTGATTTATTAGATTGTAAACGCACAATAATTTTTTATTTATTTGATATGAAATTAATATATTTTATTTACTCTTTTAAGTGCTTGGTGTGACATTTGAACTATGCTTTATAGTAAATAACATGTTCGGCTCCACATTTTTATAAATCCATCTTCATTCCGCAATGTAAAAATAAATTCTTTTTATTAAGAGCTTGAAATTCTAAAGTATATTAAATGTTGTCCCATTTTTAACTTACATCAATTTTCTCAATGTTACAATGCGTAAAAAATAGAAGCCTTGGGTTCAAAATTGATAGTACTTTCTTTGCATCGATATGGATTCATATGTTCAAACTATGAACATGGCCAAACTATCTGTACTTTTCCAAACTATCTGCTAGACTTTGGGTTTCTAAAACTTTGATTCAAGCAGCCCTTCCATGAGGAACTAATAATATCCAGAGTTTTTTGAGACCTTAGAATCAACCAGAGGAAGAGTAATGGTTGAGAGCCAGCCATGTGGCATTTGGGTTTCGGCTGTCATTTACCTCACGAGGGCAATATATCGTAACCAGTTAATCAATCTACGTGTACAATCCTTGTTGGACGACCAGATCCCAACCTAATCTGAAGAATACGTTGGGCTTTCACTGCATCCACCAGGATTACAAGCCCACAAGTAGTGGCTTAGATTGGCCCTTGTTTCCTGCCTTGCTTCTTTTAAGGCGGGAGTCAGGCCATCTCTCTGGCGGGGTTTCCCGTTGACCAGAAGGCAAAGTTCGTTGTAAAGAAAGATGGCAACACATGCACTTATATCATCATCTCTTAGCTCCTCAGTGGAGACTGCCAGGCAGATTTTTAGGAGCTAGACCACTACAATCCCCACTTGGGTCCTCAAGGAAGGGATCTTTTGTTGCTAGGGCAGCTTCTACTCCCCCTGTTAAGGTCTCTTTCTTCCCATAATCTCTCCATTTATATCATCCTTTTTCTCGGTTGTAAGATCTGATGACTTTGTTAATGTGGCATTTTCAGCAAGGAGCTGACAGACCCCTGTGGTTTGCATCTAAACAAAGCCTTACATACTTGGATGGCAGGTAAAATAAACAAGATGCAAGCATTTTATGGCAGAACCCTGATTTCTTCTTTTCATAGCATTTTGCTACTCTGATAGGCTACTTCTTTTCTCTAGCATTCTGATATAGTTTTTCACTTTTCTGGATGTGAAATATACAGCCTTCCCGGTGACTATGGATTCGACCTGTTGGGACTCTCAGACCCTGAAGGTCCAGGAGGGTTCATCGAGCCCAAATGGCTAGCCTATGGTGAGGTCTTCAACGGGCGTTATGCTATGTTGGGTGCTGTTGGTGCCATTGCCCCTGAAATACTAGGGAAGGCCGGCCTCATTCCTCCAGAAACAGCGCTCCCTTGGTTTAAAACTGGTGTGATCCCTCCAGCAGGAAGATACATCTACTGGGCGGACCCTTACACGTTGTTTGTGTTCGAGATGGCACTCATGGGATTTGCGGAGCACAGACGATTCCAAGACTGGGCCAACCCAGGTTCCATGGGGAAACAATATTTCTTGGGATTCGAGAAGTATCTTGGAGGGCTGGAGAGCCAGCATACCCTGGAGGACCACTCTTTAACCCACTTGGTTTCGGAAAAGATGAGAAGTAATTGAAGGATTTGAAGCTGAAAGAAGTGAGGAATGTGGAGATTGGCTATGTTGGCAATCTTGGATTACTTTATCCAAGGGCTTGTGACAGGAGTAGGGCCATACCAGAACCTTCTGGATCACTTGGCTGACCCTTTCAACAACAATGTCTTGACTAACCTCAAGTTCCATTAGATATAAAGCGCCTGCTTTGTTGCTCGGAAATCCCAAGCCCCATCTCCTATCTCTTTCTTCTCCTTTCTTGATCCCATTGTAACGTGAAAATTTATTCTGTAATCTGTGAGAAAGAACTCAAATAGACTTGTTAATGCCACCATCATCTTTGACCAAAGAAAATTTGCATAGGGATGCGTTCACTATGAAGAAGAGAACATCATTGTTTCCTATTTGGATACTGAAGATAGGAAAGCCCTAATTATTCTGCTATTGTTTGGAGTAAAAGAGGTAATTATACAGTCAAATCATGAAAATTTGGAAGCGACAAAAAGAAAAAGAAAGGAGCATTTGATGTCATCGAGAAAATAATAGATTAATAGTAAAGCTTTTCAAGCATATCTAAGTAAAGGAAAAGGCCTTCATATTCATTACAGCAACAAACATTTCTGAACGGAGGAAGGCATACTGAGATCTTCAAAATCAGGAGAAAAGTAAAATAGGATTCTCAACTCTATGATGACTGCTTCAAGGTTAATTCCTCTGCCCTCAGTTCACATATGAAATTATGGAACTACGTCTTTAACTAAACAGCCTGAGCAACAGGTTCATCTGCATTCGACGCTTCTAGCCTGAAAATTAAGGATAGTCAAGAACATAGCAAAAGCCCCTGAATTAGCAAGAATTACAGAAGGAATAATTTAGTGAGAGCAGATGATAAAGCCCCCTTATTGCCACCCCTCCGCCCTCCACACACACAAACACTCTTTGAACACCCCCCCCACCCCCCCAAAAAAAAAAACCCAGCACCCACCACACAAATAAACCAAATTAAAAGAAGATTATCACATGAGAAACATAAATGTTTTGGAGGTATTGCTCTACCTTTGAATTCCTTCTCCAACTTCCATTCTGCAAAAGTTCCCAATCTTCAGAGGTGAGCCCACTTCCTTTGATAGATTATCCAAAATTGTCTGGAGCAGGGTATAATGTTTTAATCAACTATTATGCTTTATAAATCACATGCACATGCACAGGTATGCCTAGTCAAAAAGCATTTTAAAGCACACAAATCTTTACACCCACAAAAGTATCTATGCGTGCATAGAGAAAGAACGTTCCAGCAAGAAACATCTGTACTTCATAGCTTGGTAGAAGTGACTTCATACTGAAATGCTTCCACCAACAACTAATGGGTACTAAGCCCAAAGGCACACTAATTTTGACAGCCTCAACCTTCTAAACTTATACCTCTTTAGCCCTTTGAACTCCCAATTACATGAAGAAACGAAGCAGAGCTATGAGTTTCAGATAAGTATGCAAGTTTAAGTTTAAAATATAACAGAGAGGACTTCACAAACCTTTATACTTAGAGAGTCATTTAAGAAATACTTTTGCTCCATGAGAACAACCTCCTCAAAGTATTTACGGAGACGACCTTCAACCATTTTCTCTATGGCCATCTGAGGCTTTCCAGTACTTTCAGCCTGACATACAAAATAAATTGGTAACCATACAAAAATGAATTTTAAGATTGGCTAGTTACATTACATTCTACATGATGCATCGACATAAAACTACTTCCAAAGAATTTATCTTTCCATTGGTATAAAGCCATGGCATCTGACAACAACCAGGGACTAAGCTGATAGAAACACATTCAAATCTCATGCAAGAGTCTACATTGTAGATGCATCAGAAGAAGGTTTTGAACTTTCAGAGGCTTCATATATGTAAGTTGCATTTAATTCCAAATAACATTTATCACACTAGAAATGAGAGAAAGATATTCCATAGACATGTAAACCATCAAATCACCCAAAAAAAAAAAATGATACATTATGTGCTAAATGATCCAACAAATAAACCAAAACTAGAATTGGATCAAAGATATAAATCTATTTCTTTCATCGTGGCTCATTTACAGCCAAACACGTTATGTTGAACAAAAATCTTCTTAATAGCCCCAATAAAATTCTCTTTCTCATTACTGGCCTTCATCAAAGACACAACAGCATTAAAATCATAGTTATTAAAACCTGCACTCATTATTGACCCTTTAAAGGATTTTGGTGGGGTTGGTTCACCGGTTGATCAGGTCAATGGGTGAAACCAATAAATAAATGAATATTATGAACTAATATATTGATACAATTAAAATTTTTAATTATATAAAATATCCATTCTTTAACTTGTAAGTTTTATACCACACATGACACAAGACCTAGTCTAAAGGGTCTTAGACTCTTGCAATAACACACATGTGACCAGGGTTTAATTACCACCAAAGCCACCAAAGTCTTGGCAAACATGAAAATGGGTTCAATTACAAACAGTAGATGCAACCGAGAATGGAATCACAGGTACCTGAGACCTTAGAATCTCACGTTCATTGTTCAGTGCATCAGAAGTCACAAATTCCTTCGTCAAGAATAATGGCTTTGTTGCCACAATATGCATTGCTAGCTCTGAGCCAACCTTCTGGAGGGCATCCAAATGAGAATTCCCATTCTCTACTTCAAGAGATAAAATTCCAGCAATTCGACCCAAGCCTACATCCAGATAAAATAGTAATTAGATCTTTTGTTGAGTGAAATTCTCTTTGTCCTGCAAGGCATTAAGATTACAACTAAGACAACAAGTTAAAATATGGGGAGAAATGATTCTATGTCTCCGTGGGCAGGCATGCATGCAATGCATGTTATCTACCAAGCATTAGGATAGCAGCACAAAAAACAAACCTGGTTGAGAACTTCTATGGAGGTAAGCAGAAACAACACCATGTGAAGATGTTGACATCACAAAAGCCCTCCTGAGTTTTACATTCTCTCCCATCATTGCAGCCACTTCTGTAACTGCATTTTGAACGGTTGTCTCCCCACTAACTTTTGGATGTTCAAGATTTAATTTGAAGTCCTGGTAGAAATTGAAAAAGGTTATTGATATATACTCATAAACAAATCACCAACATAAATAATTTAGGCTAACCTACCAAATCTTTTACTTTCACAGGTTTCATGGGCACATCTATTAGTGTTCATGGCATGCATAAACAAGAATGAGTTCAAAATAAAATTTAAAAAATAATACATATGATTACTTTTGACAACCATAACAAGAGAATGCACTTAGAAATGAAAGCAAGTTCTTAAAATTTTGAAGAGACAGGACAACAATGAAATCATGACCAAATACAGTCCACTTTTCCAGACCCCTGAAAGAACGCCAAATATATTCAATAGATGAGGTCCTACAAAAATGATTAATCACAAAGGTTGAAGATAGTGAAACCTTAAAAGAATTTCCCACCTTATAAATCTGGACTAAGATGTTGTCCATTTAAAAGGGTAAAAATGAACAATATATCTCATGCTGGTTCAATAAGAAAACATAATAATCTTTTAGCATAGAAACTTCTCACCTCTAAACACTCAGGGCCAAACGAAAAAACCCCAGGAGCCTGCTGGGAAGAATTCTCAACCAACAAAGCTTGCTTTGCCAAAGCCAAAGCCTGCACGACAGACAATATTCATAAATTACAAGCAATTAAGCAATACCAAGATAACAGCAGTCATACAACAAACGGAAACAGAGAGCAGGTATTCATATTAAATAAAAGCACAACTTCCAAGAACTGACTTCAAATGAGATTTTACGATAACAGGAGAATCATTAACCCCCTACTAACCAAATACTCAAAAATTTCATTCCTTGCAACGAAATCAGTCTCGCAATTAAGTTCAATTATAGCTGCCTTGCCCTCATTTTGAGCCAGAGCAAGCACGCCCTCGGCAGCAGTCCTGGACGACTTTTTCATGGCCAAAACCTTTCCTCTTTTCCTCAAATCTTTCTGTGCAGCCTCTGCATTCAAACAAAACCATAATCCACATAACTAATATAAAAACAATTCAAAAAGCAAAACAAAAAAAAATCATATATGATAAAAACAAAAACTGGGTGTTTTCAATTCTATACCAATATCCCAATTGCAATCAACAAGAGAAGCCTTGACATCCTTTATGGGGGCACTAGTTCTTTCCCTGAGTTGCTTGATAAGGCCCATTTGCTCAGCAGAAGAAGGTGCCTGAGAGCTGAATCTTCTTGAAAGCCAGTACAAACAAGCAGTTTTTGAGGCTTTGACATCTGCGGATTGAGCAAAGGAGGCTCCTTTAGCTGCCCAACTAGAGTATGCATGCCCATTACAAGTACTCAGCCTGGTGTTGTACAATAAGATCCCAAGTGGAAGCTTTGCATTTCTGAAGAAACCCATTTTCTATGCCTAATATTTGCTGCAAACAATGATAGTTCAAAAGAAAAACATAAAAAAAAGTGGTGAACAGAAAAACCCAGAGACCAGAGTTCCTGTGAAAATCAGGGTTTATGGGTTTTAAAGAGAACTAAAAACTAAAAGTAACACATGATGAATGAGAAGGTTTAGAATTTTTGCCTTTTTATGTCACAGAAAACGAAAAAGAAAGACAGAAGACAGAAGATAGAGGCTGACCTTAAAATTAAACTAGGGTGGATTTGCAGAGATGCGGCAATGGAAATCCGAAAATTTTAATGGAACACTATGAACCTAGTTTCTGGTAATTGAGATGGGTGGAACAGGTAAGGCCTCGACCAAATGGGCTAAGACCCAACTCATTTGGTCCATGTTAACCCAAATCTGACTCGGGCTTTGGTTTTGTCCTAAATTTTTCAGATAATGGCCCAAAATAAACAATATATATATATATATATATATATATATTTGCAAAACCTTAGAGCCTAACAAGAAATATACTTCGGGTTGACAGCTTAATCCGTCACGGACAAATTTCAATCCAATTCGATTTTATAAGATTTATTTATTTTTAAATTGAATTTTGGGTCGAATCGAATTGAGTAATATTAAGAAAAATCAGGATCGAATCAAATTTATAAAAAAATTATTTTAAATTATTTATTTATATATATTTATATATTTATTTAATTTTATATTTATATTAAAAAATAATATTTTATATTTTTAAAATAATATTTTATTAATTTTAGGTGAAATCAAATCAAGTACTATTTATATAATATCAGATCAGATCGAGTTTAGGTATAAAAAAAATAAAAAAAAATTCAAATTAAATTGAGTCAGGTGAGATTAAGAGAGAGCAAAAATCAATCCTGACTTGATCTGATTCGTTGTCATCCTTGCTTCATTGATCTTATTTTCTTTTTGCATCCCAAATCACAAAATTACTTTCTTTTTAATTTTTAATATCAAATTTTGGTACTTTTTAACCTACAATTTGTTAAAATCAATACTAAAAAAATCATATGGTAATTATTTTTTATCACGTTCAAATACTCTCTTAAACTAAAAATTTAAATTAAAACTAAATCTACGAGACTTAAAAAAAAATAATTTGAACAATCTAAAGAATCATATTTATATGTCATTTGTCCTAAATAATTTTTTTTCACAAATAAAAAAAAATACATTACACTTAATTCATATCGATAAACAAATTAATATTTCTCAAAAGGTTATTAAAATGAAAATTTTCATAAATTTGTTTAAATTAATTAAAAAATTATAATTTAAACAAAATTAAGAAATCCATTATCATTTAAAAACATTTTTAATTTTTAATTTTATGTAATTTTATGATAAATGTGATAATTTTAAATATATAACACAATATAAAATTAATACAAATAAAAAATATAAAAATAATATAATTTAAAATTTTAATAAAAATTATAAATAAAATATAAATAAAAAATATTTTATATTTTTTTATAAATACGAATTATAATATATAATTTTTATGTAAAATATAATACAAATAAATAATCTATCGATATTTTATTTAATATAAATATACGAATTATTAATATTATTTTACAGTGACAGACTTAAAAAAAAACAAATAATTGAAGTCTAGCACGTTGACCTAACAGGAGTTATGGTGGTATTGGTGAAAAAAAAAAGAGCGGACATCACTGTTACTCTAGTCCAAATTTCATTCTCAAGATTCCATTTGTTTTTCCCGTATTCTTCCATTTCTCACCGTCTATATAAAGAATATGAAAATTCCAGATACCATTAAAAAGAACAACAAAAAGAAGCTAAGCTAGGGGGACTGTGCTTCCTTCCTTCGCACTCATTTTCTGGGACGACGCATGATCCAAGATCCGATTCATTTCAATTCGAACCGAACTTCAAATCCCGTACATCTGTTTCAGGTTCTTCCTCCAATCTTTGGTTCTCAACCTTTTGCTTATATGGGTTTTGGTTGTAGATCTAATCTGCCAATTATTAATGTGTTCAGTGTGATCTGTTTTATGATTTTGTACTATTATGAATCATGTCTTTGAGTAGTTTTTGTTGAAAATGCTGTTTCTTTTTAATTTGTTGGTGTTGCAATGAAATTGATTCTGGGTTTTGTTCTTTTGGTGTTTTTGTTATTTCAATTAATGTTAAGTTAGGGACTTACTTGTATCGAAACTGATTGTTGAAATCTATTTTTGTATAGATTTTTTGACGTTGAATGCTTCAGTTTAGAGTAGCTTAGATTGGAGCTGTATATTGCAAGATCTGCTATTATCATGGCTTTCTCAGAAAGGATGATGGTGCCTCGAATCTGTTGGCTTTTTCTGGGACTGATTCTGTTTGCTCATTCTTGTCATGGGTTTTACCTGCCTGGAAGTTACATGCACACGTATTCGACTACAGATTCTATATTTGCCAAAGTTAATTCCTTGACTTCCATTGAAACCGAGCTTCCTTTTAGTTATTACAGTCTCCCTTACTGCAAACCTCCCGGTGGAATAAAGAAAAGTGCCGAGAATCTTGGTGAACTTCTCATGGGAGATCAGATTGATAACTCTCCTTATCGGTTTCGAATAAATGTGAATGAGTCTCTCTATCTTTGCACTACCAGCCCCTTGAATGAGCATGAGGTTAAGCTTTTGAAGCAGAGGACTCGCAATTTGTATCAAGTGAATATGATTCTAGACAATTTGCCGGTGATGAGGATTGCAAAACAAAATGTGATTAACATTCAGTGGACTGGATTCCCGGTTGGGTATACTCCACCAAATAGTAATGATGATTACATTATCAATCATCTCAAGTTCAAGGTCATGGTTCATGAGTATGAGGGGAGTGGCGTTCAGATAATTGGAACTGGGGAAGAAGGAATGGGTGTGATTTCTGATGCTGATAAGAAGAAGGCCTCTGGTTTTGAGATTGTTGGTTTTGAGGTGGTACCATGCAGTGTTAAATATGATCCTGAAGTCATGACTAAACTTCACATGTATGACAAGATCTCCTCTGTGAACTGCCCCTTGGAGCTGGAAAAGTCACAAATAATAATGGAGCAAGAGAGGATCTCTTTTACTTATGAAGTTGAATTTGTGAAAAGTGATATTAGATGGCCGTCTCGATGGGATGCTTATTTGAAGATGGAAGGTGCACGTGTGCACTGGTTCTCAATTCTAAATTCTCTTATGGTGATCACTTTCCTAGCTGGTATTGTGTTTGTCATTTTCTTAAGGACTGTGAGGAGGGATTTGACAAGGTATGAGGAACTGGACAAAGAAGCTCAAGCACAAATGAATGAGGAGCTTTCTGGATGGAAGCTTGTTGTTGGTGATGTTTTCAGAGAACCAGATTGTCCGAAGCTTCTCTGTGTGATGATCGGAGATGGAGTTCAGATTACAGGAATGGCAGCTGTTACTATAGTTTTTGCTGCCTTGGGTTTCTTGTCACCAGCTTCAAGGGGAATGCTACTGACAGGGATGATTATTCTTTATCTTTTCTTGGGTATTGTTGCTGGGTATGTTGCTGTACGTCTCTGGAGAACTCTCAAGGGAACTTCAGAAGGATGGAGGTCCCTTTCATGGTCAGTTGCGTGCTTCTTTTCTGGAATTGTCTTTGTTATCCTTACAGTATTGAATTTTATTCTGTGGGGCAGCAAAAGTACAGGTGCAATTCCCATTTCCCTGTATTTTGTACTCTTGTCTCTATGGTTCTGCATATCTGTGCCTCTCACTCTCATGGGAGGGTTCTTAGGGACAAGAGCTGAAGCTATTCAATATCCTGTACGAACCAACCAGATTCCTAGGGAGATTCCTGCACATAAATATCCTTCATGGCTTCTTGTTCTTGGTGCTGGTACCCTTCCATTTGGAACGCTGTTCATTGAACTCTTTTTCATCCTTTCTAGCATCTGGCTTGGGAGGTTTTATTATGTGTTTGGCTTCTTGCTTATTGTTCTTCTACTTCTGATCATCGTTTGTGCTGAAGTGTCAGTGGTCCTTACCTACATGCATCTCTGTGTTGAGGACTGGCGATGGTGGTGGAAGGCTTTCTTTGCTTCGGGTTCAGTTGCACTCTATGTGTTCCTATACTCCATCAATTACTTGGTCTTTGACCTACAAAGTTTGAGTGGACCTGTATCAGCTATTCTTTATCTTGGCTACTCAATGATCATGGCAATTGCAATCATGTTGTCAACAGGCACCATTGGCTTCATCACATCTTTCTATTTTGTCCATTATCTTTTCTCATCTGTCAAGATTGATTAAAAGTTTCATTTGGGCGATCTTCATCAACCAGCTGGAAAAGACTTTGGCATGTAAGAGGTTGATATCTCGATTCATCATTTTGATTCCACTTAAGTTGCCTTTGGTAGCTAATCATGTTACACTATAGCAAAGAAGCTTACAAAATTATTCAAATTGTCTGTTATTTTGGTGGTCGTTTAGGACATGACAGACTTTAGAGTTTGTCATTTACAATCACATCCACCCTGCTGCTTCCCCAGTTACGTAGTTGTGAGTCTTTTTATTAGCAATACGAATCTATTTTCCAACAGGAGAGAAATGATCTTTTAAAACTCTAATAAAAGGGAAACTAAAGAGTAGAGACATGGCCATGGCGACATGCATGTAGCAGCTGGTGAGCCAGATGCGATGGCTACTGGAGAAAGCAGGATACGTACGTTTGAATTTCAATCTAGCTGCCATGCCAACATTTGAACATCAAAATCTTAACAAGAATCTGATTGAGTAAGAAACCTATCATTACCATCGATCAGGTTTACATTTTAATGTTTATTACGATGTACAGAGCAAGAAACTGAATGTGAAAACTAAAAAAAGTTGTTGTATCCACATTCCACAAGATCAAACATTCTGTCTTCTTAATTATTGGTCGATAATCTAATATAATCAACAACAACAGCGAACTCAACGATCCTACTCGCACGCTTTAGCACCAACACTGAGGCTTTCAAGCATGTTGGAGCCGTGGGTTATGCTTAGTTCGGGCAAAAGAAAGGACAAAGGCATCGAAAAGAGAGTTTAGATGACACCACCACCACCAACAGCAGCAGCAGCAGCAGCAGCAGCAGCGCTGGAGGATGCGTCGTTTGCTTCAGCTTCGTAGATATTTAAGGAGCAACCAACTGTAACTGGCGCCATTGATAAGTAGCATTAGCAAAGGAAATGTTTTCTCTTTGCTCTTCCGCATTCAACTATGGAAATTGCATTGTTTTTAAACCCTTTTGCTATAAGCTATTATGAACCCCTTGTTTGGATTGGAGAGTTGAAGATTGAAATAATATTGCATATAAACATTTAGCAGGGCTACTCTATAAGTTTTTATATGCTCCTTGATGTGCTTCTGGTTTAATTAGAAGCAACAAGCAAGCAAGCAAGAACTCCTGTCCAAATTGATTATACAAATATCAATCAGGAAACCTGTGTATATGATTTACCTTAAGCAATTCAAGGCAGTTATGTTGATGAACAAGATTATAATTCATCAAGAAGGGCAAACTAGATACTATTTTTCCTTGTTATTTATGGACAGACAGGAAGAGTTACAGTTACTAGTCTTATGCAAGGATCGAAAGTCTTGAAACTTACAACTGAAACTGGCTTTAGTCCTTACACATTATTACTTAAAATGTGCCAGGAAAGCCTTGAAGGTTGTCGAAGTTCAAGCCAGCATCGAGGTTCATTGGTTCATTATCATCCCAGTTCAAAAAAGCTTCTGTCGGGTCCTCATCAGCAGGCCGGACCCTTTTCTTCCCATTGCCAGTAAGTGCAGGGAAAGTTTCCTGATATGAACTTGAGGAACAGCCGCCATATGAAGTTGAGAAGCCTTCAGATGCAGGGTAAAGAGAGGTTTGGGGCTGATAACCAAAAGGTACCTCTTGAAGGCCGAGATTGGCTTGGGTTGTCAATGTGTCATATGTAGGAAATGCACCGAGATTGGCTTGGGTTGTCAGTGTGTCATATGTAGGAAATGCATTCTGCTGGTTGAAATAAAACTGTGGCATTGTGGCCATGGTTCCTAAATCAGATGTGCCAGGCATTGTTGTGAAAGCTCCTAAATTAGCCGGGGCCTGCTCATACAGCATTGGTAAATCAGATGGGCCAGACATCGTTGTGAAAGTGCCTAAATTAGCTGGGGGTTGCCCATACAGAGTTGCATTTTCAGTGGCTGCATTGCATAAATACTGATCAGTCAGCTTCTCGCATGCGCGTTCTAGTGCAGTGTTCAGGTACCTCCTTTGTGCCTCCAGACACCTTTGAACATGCTTCTGAGCCTGCAGAATTATGGCTTTAACATTATGGACACTAATCAAATAATATATAAGATTTCCATTTCAGATTTGAGTTATTCAAATTTCACTTTCTACAAGATTATTAGTTTAGTATGTTCAAATTTCTGGAATAGAATGATAGTTAGATCTTTTAAAGGACAACGATTGACTGCAAATTTCAGAAATATATAAAGGATCATCATATATATCGAGGAGAGATCTCACTACGCAGAATCCTATAGTTGACAGGAAAAACTCAAAAATTCCAACTTGAAGACTCTGATTACTTCCAACCAGCCAAAAAGAGAACAAAGAAATATTTGCTTCCTGATCTCAGCACTAGAGTGGACTTAATGAGAAAGCAGATCATCTATCTAATTAGAATATATATATATATATATATATATATAATAAATGTATTGCCTTATAATTTCCTAAATGAACTTACCTCCATTTGCAGATAGAGATTTCCATGAATTCCCTTTTGGGGCTTTTGAGTTTGTTTAGCTTTACGGCCCCTGCATATCGTATGCCAACAATCCACAATAGAAAATAAAACCTTAAACCAGTTGAGCCAAAAAAAAAAAAGCAACAAAATGAAAAGAAAAACATACCTGTTATACCCATTGGCTCGGGGTGGTACCGAGTTCAAAGAAGTAATACCGCGTGAACCTCCCACAAGTTGAGAAACTGAGGTTCCTCGCATTCAGAATCATTTTTAAAAATTATATGGTCAGCTCGAATACCAACATGTCATTCACAAGTTGCTCATCTAAGCTATACATCATTGTAAATAAAAGAAGATAGTCCTTAATTTAGCCTCAGCCAATTAAGTTACTTTTTTGTCAGAATCAAAATCAGAATAATTTTGTTATGACTGAATAATCTTTTAGTATTAATTGTTACAAAATTTATGTCACTGAAGATGGCTTTGTTTCATTCAGTAAGACTATCTTTCCCTAGAAACCCTGTATATGAGTTGTATTCACTTTCTATTCTTTTCTAATTGTTTCACATTCTGTTTCCATATGTGAATGAAATTTCCCGTCTTTGAAAGTTGGAGACTTGAAAACAATCAGATACTCGTCTACTTTTCCTAATCAAAACATGATCTTAAATTCTTGTGACATTAGCGGGAAAACTTATTGTGGTTCCTTCTTTCTTTGGCATGTTTAATTGAACAAGTTGTTAAATAAAGACATAATAAAACGATTCAAATTGCATGTTTAAAACAAATTAAGAACGAAGGCGGGTGGACATAACAAAACCTACCATTTTTTGCCGTGTCCTGCCACTCCTTCACTGAAAACTTGCCCAGTCTATACTTCTGGAATTCATTGAGCAATAAGGGCATAAATGATAATCCTTCATAAGGAAACTTTTAGCAGTAACTGCTAAAAAGGAAATGCTTAAATCAAATATAAATACTTACTTGCAAATGACTTTTGACATGGAAAAGACCGAGTCCCTCTATATCCATCAAATCCAGAGCAGCCTTTGGTGTTGCTTCTGCAAATAAGATATATGGTCAGATCATGGGATAAGTAATGGAAACTGCAAGGTAACTTTCTGAAAGCAAAGGCAAGATGAGTCCTCTGGTTACACTAAACTCATATTGGCATGGAATCCATACCAGCAAGATGAGCCCAAAAAAACATACCAAAATTCAGTTCATTGATAAGGACTAGCTGGCAATACATGTCAACCGAAAAGAAAAGTTGCACAGATTTCTCTAATAGCAACTAGCAAAAGAGCCTTAAAAAAGAATGAAAATTACTAAAGAATATGGAAATAATTACTCAAAAACAAGCATAGAGGCAATAAACTAGAAGTGTTGCTAAGAATAGGTAAAAGACTGGTATTGGGGTCATCTTCTTTTTGGTTGCTTGTCACATATCAAGCTTTATGTCATCTCATCCTTCTCTTTCTAATATCTCACATATAGTTGGGGTTGATTAAAGAATTTTGTTTCATCATTCTGTTCAATCTACAGCCTCATATAATGGTTAATTCCTAGAACAAAAGTTACTTACAGCTGCAGCTCACATCTTGTTGCAAGGTTAAACTTTCAGCTAATAAAGGCGCCTAAATACATCTATGAACCTCTTATCATCTGTTTCTGAGCAGCTCCTATCATTCCCCTCTAATTATTCTATTCATACTCTCAGCACTATTCAATATTTTATATTCTTTAAACTGAATTAAAACAAAATGATTAAAAATGGCTAATACTATGTAAAAAAATGCTAATACTAGCACTGCAGGTGCATGCAACTGAGGAAAGGCTGATTGGAAAATCAAAATAGTGCATAAACTGCATTTGAGCCCATCTGCGGACTCATATACATGCCCTATTTTCCGGTAACGCCACCAAGTTAGAACAATGGAAACATATCTGAAGTCACCAAAGCATGTGTGCAAATCTACACAAGCCGACAAACTTGCAGTTGTTATCATCGGATACATTATTGAAGAAGTTACGCAATTTAACATTCATCATCAAAGCTAAAGTAAAACCATGAGAACGCAACATAAGGCATTAAACGGAAGTGTATCTGAAAAAGCACGACAAAGGAGAAGCCGACAAACTTGCAGTTGTTATCATCAAATACATTATTGAATAAGTTACATAATTTAACATGAATCATCAATGCTAAAGTAAAACCATGAGAACGCGACATAAGGCATTAAACGGAAGTGTATTTGAAAGAGCACGACAAAGTAGAAGCCGACAAACCTTCCACAAGCATCTTTCAGAGACGCTGAGTATAAACAATATTCCTGGATTGCAATGTAACGGAACAACAAGAATATATAACCAGAAAAGGAAAAGTTTAACATCTATAGTATAGTTACTAATCAACAACTAATCGACAAGTATTTCATCAGCAGCCGCCAAGAAGCTACACAGACTGCCTAGATTACCGTTAGCTCAATCTATTTTAACACGTCACACACAGAAAGGTGGAAAGATGCCGCAAAAAAACTAAATTGAAGCATGCTGTAAGCTAAGTGGCAATGATTTTTATGAATGCTCCTCAGTTAAATCTACATGGACCTGTTGCACATAAAAAGAGATAAATCAAGGAAGAAAAACTGAGGAAGCAACAGTATGTCATTTTTTGAGCTAATCTTATTCGAAAATGATCAAAAGAATATCATTTTTGTTTTAAAAGCACATATATGTAAGTTAAGTAGTGGCATATGATAGAATTTATACAAGGAGGGAGGAAGGGATTGGCAACTTATGCAAAAGCTAACTGCATGTACTTATATTCAAATAAAGAAAGGGAACAAGTAGCATGCAATTAAAAAAACAGAAACTATATGAGGAAAAAGATTAAATATAAATTGCTGCATCTTTAAATGCTTAAAACATAAAAATTTTGTACAAAGTTAGTGGAAAATTAGAGAAGGTCCATTTTGATAAATAAGATGCATGAATTCCGCTATTAAATCAAACGCTCTAAAATTCGATGAAAAATGTTATGAATTTTGCTAGAATGGCCTTAGAAAGTAGTGACACATGCTCACAGCAGACTGTTAAGCAAGCAGAATTCTTGTCCAAAGAAACAAGCATGTATCATTATACAAAGAAAACAAAGAAATGAAAATTTTCAGAGTTTAAGCAAGAAAAATGCAGCTAGAGGAGAATTCAGCTATTCTATACAAAAGAATTGAAGCCACTGAGCCAGCCTTAGTGCTAGATGCATGTTAGAAATGGATGAATAGAAGAAACACAGGCATGCAGATTATTTCCAATTGAAAAAGAAAAATCAAGCTATTTTATGAATCATTCTCTTGTGCATACTACACATCCACAATGATGAACATGATGCAATCATTCAAGTATCAGATGTTCAATCCATTTTAGAAACCAATTCAACATTTTATTTTTGTTTTAAAAAATTTGGAATAATGGAGTAGACTATAGTAGAGAATAAGGGGAAATGAACACTGACTATGAGGACCACCAAGCTGGTTGACAGCATCAACAAAATAATCATGAAGTTCATGAGTCCATCGAAGGCGAGGTTTAATATCATTAGTCACCATGAGCTTAGGTTTCTCCTTCACCTTTTTCACCACCTCATTACTAAAAACATGATCACCATTAATCTTCACAGGAGCCGAGGGTCCTGAAATTTCTTGCAAAGCAAGCAATGTCTTATTATCACCACCCTGATGAAGTTGCTGGTCAACTTGGTTAAGCCCATTGACACCACCTTGACCAGCCATTTCTTTACCTACCACTCCCCTTTTAAATTCATCAGAATTCTGGTTCAGAACATTGTTTTCCATTGAAACACTCTTCATTTCACTCAAAATCTCATCCATTTCTCTTCTTATACACTTCTGCTCACCCCTCCTTTCTAACACTCTCTACAGTCTTGCAGGTTTGCAACAGAAACCAAGGCTACCCAAGAAACAGAACGGAAAAATAAAGCATCACAAAACTGAGGACCCCACCAGGAAAGTTTTGTGGGGGCCACAGAACTAATAGCACTAACAGAGGAAAAATATGTAGTCATAAATAAAAGATAGAACAATCCAAAAGTAGACACGACGGCTGTTTTGTAATTATCTTGATATTGGTAAATAAGAGTGGAAGTGAGACTTCTGAACCAGGACAAGGAAGGAGAAGAAATCGAGGAGAGCGAGGAGGGAGGGAGGAGTGATAAGCTTACCCAAGAGGTGAGTAAACACGCACACGTGGGGGAGCACATGACGTGAACGGAGGGCCGAAGTGGCGTGGAGTGAATGGAAGCGGTGGTGGAGCAGTGAGTCACATACAGGGTAAGATCTGGCTTCAGTTGTGACGCTGCTGCATGAGAGGAAACGTGGAAGCAGCACCTCTTCGGTGTTTGCTTAATTTTTGTTTGTAATTACAAAAAAACTCTGGGTTGGGTCAAGCTCATTAAGCCCATCTTTACCATCGAACTGAACCCTTGTACGATTTTCTAAATATTTTCTTAAATTTTAGTTAATCTCTTGGCATTCACATCATCAATGTTCATATCTTTCCAGGATGAATGTTTCATAGAGACCAATTTTCTTTTCTGTTTTCTCTTGCAACTGTTTATACGATTTTTCTTTTTTCATACTTTTGATTCTGATCAACTATGATTCATTTTTCCAATCAATATCTCAAGTTTGAACGAGTTGACTCAAATTCATTATCTCTGGTTTGAACAATTTTGTTCGGTTGCTGACCATTGTCGTGTTTTAAGTCACTGAAATCATGATTCTTTTGTCCAACCACCTCCATAACTCTTCCTTGGAATCGAGCGTTTAATTGTAGTGAGTATATGTTTTTTGTTTTTGACAAATGTTGATAATTGTATTAATTATTTGAGCAAGGTTGTTCATAATTTAATTTTAATTGAATTGATTAATTGAATTGATTTAATTTGATTAATTAATTATTAAATTAATTTTGAATGAATTTATAAAATTAATTTTTAAAAAAAGTTTAATGTTTGATTAATTTGATCGAATTAATTGAAATATAATAAAATTTAAATAAAAAATAAAAAATATATAAAATAGATCATTTAACTTTATAAATTATTAGGATTTTTAATATAATATTTTGATATTTGAATATTTTGTTAGATAATTTTATTTAGATTGTTTAAAATATGAAAAATTAAAGTTTAAAATATAATTTTATTAAATGTATTTATTATTTGATTAATCAAAAAAATTAATTGAATATAAATTCGATTGATTAATTTTTAAAATTAATAAATTTAATTCGTTTAACAAAAATAAAATAATTTAATTTAATTTTGAATAATTTAATTTGAAATTAATTGAAATTGATTGGATAAACATTTTTATATTTGAATTTTTTTATTGTTTTTATAAAAAATTATAATTTTTTATATTTAAAAAAGGACTACTTTTCATAGTTATGAAATATTTTGGATTTTCACAATAAAGGAGAGGGTTTGTTCTTATTCAAAATTTTTTTCTAATCACATTTATTAATATTACTTACCTTGAATACAATTTCCTTTATTTAATTTAATTACTTACCATTTTATGATATCTTAAATATGATTACTTATCATATTTACTTCACTTTAATTAGTTATTTAATAGCTCAACATAAAAGTGCTTAGGAGATAGCTTTTGTTGGATTTTCAAATACAAAATGTATTTAAAATTAGATCAATGTAAAATTAAATCATACACAAAAAAATAATATTTAATATGGTTAAATCACAATTATTTATATCCACCTATGAAAAAAAAATTATTATAAACGTAATTATTATAAAAAATATAAAACACTATAAAACAAAATTAATCTTAAGTCTCGATACAAATTTAATTTTAATATTTTTTAATGATTAAATATATAAAATATCTTTTATTTCATTAATTCAATATTTTTTAAAATTTTTATTCACGGTCTCACGTATAAATTAATCTCGAGATCACATAAAATTTATATTTTTTTCATAACTTTAAAGGTTAAAATCCGTTTTATATTTATAAAAT